TCATTCCTGTGGCTCAACCTCCTTATTTGCCTGACTTGAGTCCTTGTGACTTTATTTTCCCGAGTTAGGGGACAGTCGAAAACATACAAACTGGTATAACCTGCCAGCTGTAAGCTATTCCTGTATTGGAGTTCCAGCACTGCTATGAGGCTATGGACGAGCTGTCTCCAGTGCTACGTGGCTACAGAAAAATTTTGATGGTGACAATATAAAATTGTAATTATATTTGGATACAAAAATTTAAAAAACTTTGATAGAACTAAATTATTCAATAATATGGTTTTTGTGTGTGAGATTCACCTCAAAATCAAAACCACAATACATATAAAAACTCAATAATAGCAATAATTTGTTGTGTGGCTGGCAGTACTGTGTAGTGTCAGATGATCAATGAATTTGTTCATTGGTGAAAACACGGCTAAAACATAATTATGATGACCTTGAAGAAAACCATCGAAATATAATGTCATGAAGAAATTGATGTAAATGGGTATAAGAAAATTGCTTGAAAACCTAAAAAGCTGCTAAAATCGTGTACCTTTGCAAGTATTACAGCTGACTTCCTAAACACATATTTTGTATTCATGTTTTTTGTAGGTTAGCCTGAGTAATGTCTGTTCACTATGCATATTATAATACCATTTATGTATTCGATAATTTATTTAATATTACAAACTATAAACTGTTTTTGTTGTTGTAAACTGTGTTTTCTTAAGTTTAATTTATAAATATTTATGTTGGACTGATGAGCCTTTAACTTTATTGCGTTTTATTTACACTAATTTTGGTTTTACTTCATCACTAACTATAATTTAGGTTGTACTGTAAATGGATTCAAAACCATAAAATGGATAAAATTCCATACAGGATGTTAATAAAGTATGTAGACAAACTTTAACCATCGAATCCTTAGTAAACTTGAAGACGAAATTTCCATATGAACCTGGGTCCGCAACAGCTTTGTTTTCAAGCTAGATCATATTAGCGCTAAAAGAAATAATGATATTGTTCTAAAAGAATGGAACATATTTTATTTTAATAAAGTATGGCCTGTGGTGAATATCACATGATTTACAGTTGTTTTCAGACCCTCCATGTAGATATGGATAATGTTATCCAGTATTTTTTGAAAAGATAGAATGACATTGATGTTTTGATCGCAATACTTTTAATATTGAAGCAAATAATTTTTTTTCCAAAAATACAGGATAATACTATTTTCAACCACGTTCATATCGAGCCTCAGCAACTTGTAAAACATGCAAAATGTATCATATGTTATACCAACTGTTCAATAAATATATTTCATTATTCATAGAAATATTTAGAACATAACTCGTATTTCTTTAGTGATAGTGCTCTAGCTCGAAAATAAAGCTGTTACAGACCCATGTTCATATGAACATTTAGTCCAAGGATTTGATGGTGCAAGTTTGTCTACATACTTTATTAACACCCTGTAAATGGAATGGTTCAATAATTCCAAAACATTTTATTTCCATCATGTCTTAGGATTGTGAATGGCAAAATAATACCAAAATGCGTCAATTGACTATGATTTAAGATATTTTTGGAAATAGAAAACTTTCTCAATGAGGGGTGTATTTTTGAGCCAAAGTGAAGTAGAGAAGTTCACATAAACATGACCCCTAAAAAGACTAGTTTTCAAGATACAGGGTGTCCAAATTTCAGAATAAAATCATGCCTTTTGACAGAAAAAATAATAGCAAACTGACTCAGAAAGTAAAATAGATGTTCATTGTTCTTGACAATGATCAAAGTTGATTTGATCTTATTTCAATATTTTTTTGCAAATACAGTAAGTTATGAACAGATACAGAGATGCAAAAAACATTAGCTGCTGAATTAAAAAAAATATATATTTTTCAAAAAAAGTCAGCAGTGATTTTTTTTATTAATATCATTAGTGATACTGCCTAGAATTCATAATAATATTTTAGGTTGTGCTCAGTTTACATCTTTCTGCAAACAATGTTGCCAAAATTCAACATAATCGGCACAAGAATTTGAGGTTTTAATAAGAGACAATCTTTTTTTAATCTTAGATACAGTGGACCCCCGATAATCCGGCCCCTGTCTAATTCGGCGCCCCCCATACGTATTTGACAATCTTCGCTAATGTAGATCACGCAGGTTTGAACAGGTTACAACTTGTACGCGCCACCGCTATTGTGCTCGACGCGTAAGCATTGTTTTACTTAGTTTGAATTTGACTACTGGTGATAGCGGTACGGCCTAGCGTGCGTTCATTGTTTACTATTTATTCATTGTGTATTAAGTAGAGTACCTAGTAATGTCATCACAAACTCAGAAGCGAAAGCACAAAATATTGACAATTAAAGAAAAATGTGATATTTTAGACCGCTTAAATCGCAATGAAACTTTCAGTAATTTAACAAGTGAATACCGCAAAGGTCTATCTACAATTTATGACACTAAAAGAAACCACGAGAAGATCAAGAAGTTCGTGTCAACTACTGACTGCGGGGCAGGCAAGAGACAGACACTCAAGAAAGCTGAACATCCAAAAGTGGAAGAAGCTTTGTACATGAGGTTTCTTCAGGAAAGAAATAGGCATGCACCAATTTCAGGACCCATGTTGGCCATGAAAGTTAATTTTTTTTTATAAGGAAATAACAAAAAAAGATGATTTTGTGGCCAGCAAAGGATGGCTAGAACGTTTTAAAAGTCGTCATGGCACACGTTTAATTACTATTACAGGAGAGAAACTTTCTAACGATGTCACCTGCATAGAGCCCTTTAGATTGAGATTTTTGCAAAAGGTGAACGATTTAAATCTTGACCCGTCACAGGTGTACAATGCAGACGAATCAGGGCTTTTTTGGCGTGTGATGCCTAACAAAACTTTCATTTCTTGTAACGAAAAATCCATATCTGGACGAAAACTAAGTAAAGAGCGTGTAACCATACTACCATGTGCTAACGCTGCGGGCACACACGCGCTAAAGATGATGGTCATTGGGAATTCTAATAAACCATGGGCATTCAAAAACATTGATTTACCTGTACACTATTACGGACAAAAAAGTGCATGGATGACAAAAGACCTTTTCAAAAAGTGGTTTGATGAATGCTTCGTACCTGAAGTTAGAAAATGGTTAAAAGATCATAATTTTCCTGAAAAAGCGTTGTTGCTTCTTGATAACGCTCCCGGTCATTCATCTGAAGAAGAACTAACAACTCAGGATAAATGCATCACTGTGATGTTTCTTCCAAAAAATTGCAGTGCTCTGATTCAACCAATGGACCAGAATATCATTCAGTTTGTCAAGCACGACTATAAGAAAAACCTACTTCTGAGAGCCGTATCAAAAGACCAACCAATAGAAAAGCTTTAAAAGAATTTAATATGAAAGACTTGGTTTTTGCTCTTTGTCAGTCGTGGAATGCGTTACCGTCATCAACTATTAAATCGTCTTGGAAAAAGTTACGGCCAGATATAGTCACCAGTCCTAGCTACATTCCACAAATCAGTGTTACTTCGGAAGTTATAGAACAAGTCGCTACTGAAACACAGATAAGTTCGGAAGATGGATAAAGAGGAAAATGTTTTTCATGAAATGTCTGACGAAGAGATTATAAAAGAGGTTTCTAATTATACAACAAACAATCAGGAAAATAATGATGACGTGATTGCAACTGCTCCACAAGTCACAGCACAAGATGCAATTAACACCTTTGAGCTAGATTTACAATGGGCTGAAGAGAATGGTACATCTTACAACAATCTTTTACTTTTGAGAAGACTGAGGGACAAAGCTCTGATCTCCGTTATAACAACCTTAAACAAAAAAAAAAAATTGATGAATATTTCCAAGCTTCATAATTTGATAAATTCATTAATGATTTTGATTAATAATTCTTGATTATTTTGGTACATATGTATGTGCATTTATGCTTAATTTTATAATAAAACGTAAGCTCTCAATTGTTATTTAATTTACTAAATATGACATAGATAAACTATGTATGATTTGTACATACTTCAAAGTACATACATATACATAACATATATAATCTTACCATTAGATATGTAATTTGTAAGGTACTCTTTTTGGTAAATCCGGACTATAGGGGGTCTTAGGCAGTGCTCTACAATCCGACAAATTCGATAGTCTGACACTGTCCTGCATAATGTTTGTCGAATTACCGGAGGTCCACTGTACTGTGTATCTTGAGAACCAGACTTTTTAGGTTAGACATATTTATTTGAAATTTTCTACCTGGTAATTAAGGCCTATCATTAAGAAACACCCTGTACATAACAATATATACATATTCATTCATGCTTGTTATACTAGTATATGATTTGTATGCCTGTACCTATTTCTGACAATATGGGAGCACACTTTTCCATTACCTCTTCACAGTGGTTGCAATTGTTGAAAGTTCATCAAATTGAGAATTCTCATCTTTGTATTGCTTCAGTTTATCAGTAAATTGCACTGGTTTGGCATGTTTTTTGAGAATATGAGAAATTTTTTCGTGACTCGAACATAACCTCACTTTATAAAACACTTCTTCATCACAAAGACAACATGCTGCATGAATGTATTTGATATCGTATTTTTTAGCGCATCTTTTCACTGTTTGCGCTATCACTTTGTTCATTATTACAGCAGGAAATCATTTAAGAAGAAAAGCATACAGCAAGCATATGGGAAATAAGAACTGACATAAGCTTACACAGTACGTCAAAACGACGATGACAGAAAGAAGAAGCACACTGCACCACAAAAATCAACAAGACAGATGCTGTGATCGCCGCCATCTTGCAGGTTACGGGCAAAAAAATTCAAGATATGGAAAAACTGTAATTTTTAGTTCAGATTTTACAATACAGCTAAAGTCCTGACGATACTTAACCTAATCATGCAAGTCAGATAAAAATGGTAAAAAATGTGTTTCTCCAATGACACAGTATAGTTTCCAAATATACTTAAAAAAATTAAACTTACCACTTCCAAACATCTTGTTCTTCCTCTTCCTTCTTTTTCTTGCCCTTCTTAGGGCTGCTGTCCATGCTTGTATCTGCTTTCTTGTCACCTTTCTCTTTCTTCACTTTTTTCTCCTTTTTCACCTTTTTTTCAGGCTTGTAGTCTTCTTCCTCTTCGTCGTCATCTTCGTCATAGCTCCGTTTTTTCTTTTTCTTCTCTTTTTTTTCTGTCTTCACTTTCTTCCTTGCCATCAGTGGAATGTCATCCTCGTCATCTGATTCAATCTTCCTTTTTGTTCCAGAATTTGCTACTCTAGCAGACTGAAATTATTGAATCCACATTAAAGTCCTACTTCAACAAGTTGGTGTATTTTAAATCAAATTAAGAAAGGAGCAATAATTAAACTCAGGAGCATGTTGTGAAAAACTATGCCAAAGATTAATGTTTTGTCATCCTCATATTTTATGTGTAATTTAAATCTATCTACTATTCTCTTTTTAACTTGTGTAAATGCAATTGCAAACACAACACCAATAAATATTATTATTACTCTGTCAGAGTAGGCAAATCAAAACGAGTTATAACACTGCAGCCTTTGCACATGACACAAATTGTTACTGCAACCTCACTTGCCCAAGCAGATAAATTACAAAGGGATAATGTGGACAATATCCTGGCAGATCCATTCTGCATTCTCACTGTACTGGTCAAACTGAATGGATTTGGAAGTAATATTAATACAAATGATTTGAGGTGCATATAAAATGAATAGTTCAAAAGACCAACAGTCAAATTTTCCTGTTTTCTCAAATATTATTATTATTTAAGTACTTAAACACTGATATAGTTTAAAAAATGTACAAGCAGTACATAAGAACCCATACTTGAATATGGTCAAGATATATATGGTGCCCTTATTCTGCAAAAGACAGATATACGTGAAAGAGTGACTGAATTATCAGTTAAGTGAGATATGCAATCCATCAAGTCATCATCAACTTGGGGGCAAAAATATAAATTATGACTGGAATGCCAAACTACTAAGGAGAAATTTGCGTTAAACTTTGTAATAGGGTGGCCGATATGTAACTGACTGGTTTGTATCTTGAATATTTGTGAAATGAAATAAAATAGGTCAACTTTTTTCATCTTTATCTTTTATTGAAACTTAGAAATTATGTATGAAAAATAATATCAGATAAATGTCCGCCTCTAGAAGCCTCGCAAGCCTGTACCCACTTGATTACAGTTTCCATCACTTTTTGGTAGGTTTTGCGAGGACTATTTTCAGTCGCTTCGGTAATATTGTTCTTCAGATCCTCTACAGTATTTGGTTTGTTCGCTTAAACCCTATTTTTCAAAAATCCCCATAAAAGTCAGTAGCCATTAAATCCGGTGACCTTGGTGGCCAGTTGACATCATCAAATCGAGAAATTCAAAGTTCCGGAAATATTGTTCGCAAAAGATTCATTGTTTCTCTAGCTGTGTGACAAGTTGCTCCATCCTGCTGGAACCACATATTTTGCAGGTTAAATTGTTGGATTTGAGGAGCCAGAAAGTTTTGCACCATGTCACGGTAGCGCTCGTCAGTGACGGTAAGAGAATTACCTGCAGTTTCAAAGAAGTCCAATGACACCTCCATACCAAACACCGCATCAAACTGTGACTCGACGAGCATCCGATGGTAGTTGATGGATGACGTTCTCTATTGCCCAGATACGACAATTTTGCTTATTAACAAATCCGTTAATATCAAACTGGACTTCATTGCTCATTATCAGTTATCAGTAAAAATCACTATTTTGAGTATTAAGCTGCATTATTGCATGACTGTATTGTCGGCGGCTTTCATAGTCACTAGGCTGTAGTTCTTGGGTTGACTGTGTATGGTCGCAAATTCAAGTCTTTTTTTAAAATAGTGCATAACGACGTGCGACGAATATCCAGTTCTTGAGAACGATGTCTATTAGGCATTTCAGGGCGCTCCACTTCACATTCACGAACTCACTCGATATTTTCCGGAGTACGAACAGTTCGAACACGGCCCGACGTTGGCAAGTCTTCAACTTCCTATCTGTTTGTTCAAATTTCCGCACCAACTGACGAATGGTGTTGACCGTTTGTTGACACAGGGCACATTATTTCAACGGAAATCTTGTCGTAGCTTCTGAATCGTTGCAACAATCGGCTCATTATTAAAATAAAATGTTTTAACAATACGGACGCATTGTGGGATCGCGTAGCGCTCCATGATGAATTGGACACTTGTGTTTTAAACAACTACTATGGCGCCACCTACTGAAATGCGTGTATCAAAAATGGCGCTCAATTTAAATCAGTGAGTTATTTATTGGCCATCCCGTATTCACTCATAACTTTTGTAAAATAAGATAGTGACATCAGACATTGTCCACTATTATATACTGGATAAATAAATAATTTTCTTGTGGGCTGTGTGATAACATGACAGTTTAAGATCCGTTCAAAGCTCGACATTTTCCGATCTTTCGACGGAAGTTAATATTTTTTTTACGAAATCAAATACGTAGAAAAAAAATGTCGGTGGTCAGTTAGTCAAAGAAATCCTGAACTATTTTTATTTAAATATAGGAAAGGGAAATAAGTAATTCTGGTGTTTTTTCTTTATCTCACAACCACCAATGAATTTTACTTCTCTTATTAGGGTTTTTAAAGGTACAAATAATGTAAAAAAATATCTCGCTAAATAGCAACGTTTCCGACATATTGGGCCAAGAAGTTTTATTTTATTTTTTTATACCGTGGAAGCCACGTAAGCGGAAAACTAACTACCAGAGCACCACAGCTGCTATGACAAGCTTAAAGAAACTTTATTAATGACATTTCTGACCTGCCCGAGGTTAGTACATCTGGGAAAAGTCTCCTCAGGTAGATTGTTCCACAGTCTCAATACCTTAAGGAAAAAAGAGTAGTCATATGTGCCGAAGTCAGGGGGTCTGTCTGGAAGGCACATCACGCGGCGGCATTATGGAGGAGAGTCTGTTGGTTGTAATAGTAGCAGAATAGAGTTGGATCTCCGATGGCTCGTCGGTGTGAAAGGATTCTGAGACCGTCTTTTAGAGAAAGGGTCTTCAAAGAGGCAGACAGCCCTTCTCTGAACAGCATCGAGCATAGATAATGTAATTGGGGCGGCAGTACCTCAAATATATGAGCAGTACTTGAGACTAGGTCTTATCTGGGCATTGTACAGAGTGAGGAAGTTATGGGGAAAAAGCACTTCTTTACCTTATGAAAATGAAGTTTGTTCTGTGTTTTAAAATGAGGTACAATAAATGTTACTATGTTCATACAGGATACAAAGTCTACTTTGCAAAGCCTCATAGCAATACATACATTCAAAAAAATGCAGTAGGTTTGTTGAATCAGTGTATCTTGTTAGTGTTGTATATGCCAGAATGACATTCATTATATATTATCAATAAATAGCCCCATGTACCCCATGGGTGTTTAGGCTGTAGTGGTAGTTGGGAGTATAAAAAAAAGTTTTTCTGGAATATTATTAGAAAAGAAATTCATTTTTTGTCTGACTGTGAGTGTCGACATATGTCTGAAATGCTGCTTCTTGGTGACATATTTTTAGCAAGTTATTTTAGGTTTTTGACTACATTAATAAAATACACTCAAATAATCATTGGCTGCCAGATAAAAACAGGACAGTCACTCATATGTGTCACACATTTACTGATGGCAGTATTTTGGATTTCTGTAGACACACCTAAGGAAAATGAGGAGATACTTCAATAGCTCAAAAAAAAGGGTATCCTTACCAATGGAACATCTTCATCACTTTCTTCTTCTTCTTTAGGCTCTAGCTCACCTAAGTTGTCCACTTCTATCCCTTCTTCACCCTCAGAGAACTGAGATTCGTCCTTCTTGAAATGACTGAGGTTGTAGTCACAACTGCTTGCCTGGGACAGGTTATTCTCTTCACCATCCTACGATAAGTTGCTATATTTTCAATATGTACTGAACAACTTATATAAAAAGGATTTGGGGAAAGAATGATGTGATGAGTTGAAACATCATTCCCACAGCCAATGTTGATAATTAATTCTAAACAAAGCAATAAAACTGCCAGTGACTGCACAAATTTCTATTACCTCATCTTGACTTCCAGGTTCATCTTTGATTACCAATTTTTCTTCATCATCATCTGAACTGTTCTCCTCTTTAGGTTCTTGGTAAGGTCCTTCTTTCACTTGGACTTCTTGTTTTACTTCTTCTTTGATTTCCTTTTTAAGCTGTACACCATCTGCAAAACATACAATGATATAATGATGTGAATAGTCTTGAAAAAATCTTACTTCTCAATAAATAGATGGCATATAAGAATGGTATCATTCTGGCATAACAGCCATCAAGAACTTATAATTTAGTTTTAAAATAAAACATGTTTTTGACATAGAATTTTGAGTGTCAACCTCTGTAACAGACATTTTTTGTGCCAAATTACACCCACTACAAGGTTCAAGTTACTAGTTTATATCGCACAGTGTACAAAAAATAAAGCTCTGGATAAATGTCAGCTACTAGATAGACACTGTATTTGATAAAAATTGCTTTGAACTGATTCTTGATGCTAGGATTTACACTGCTTATTATTTTTTTAAGGAACTGTAAACATCTGACTTCATAATATTGCTAGTTTTAAGTGTATCACAAATTTTAATACACTAGATAATTTTATATTCTGCTATATTTTCTTTAATATGTTTTTAACAACAAAGTTACCTTTGTGAATACTGACATTTTGAATCTTGAGAATGAAGCATTTTTAGGACTCATTCAATATCTTTCCTTAAAAAATAAAGTTTTGCATAAGGTTCAGGTGGAAATATATTTAACATATCAACATATTGAATTTCTAGTGCATGTTTAATTTCAAATTAGAAGAAATAATAAGATTTAATAGTTATCATTTCTCACCTAATTTATCTTCTTGTTCCTCCTTAATCTTTCTATCCTTGTCTTTATATTTGTCCTTCTCTCTATCCTTTTCTTTCCTATCTTTATCTTTTGAACTTGAATTTTTATCCTTATCCCTTTCTTTATCTCTATGCTTGTCCTTTGAGCTGCTGTGCCTATCTTTTTCTTTATCCTTGTCCCTGTGCTTGTGCTTATCCTTGTCCCTGTCTCTATCCTTTTCTCGGTCCTTATCCCTTTTTTCTTTGTCCTTATCACGCTCCTTATCCCTGGAGCTCGACTTATGGTCCTTGTCCTTATCATTGGAACTCTTGTGGTCCCTATCTTTCTTCTTATCATCACGGTGACGGTCCTTATCTTTGTCTCTATGTTTGTCCTTGTCTCTATCCCTGTCTCGGTCCTTGTCCTTGCTGGAAGATTTGTGGGAGCTATGGCGATCTTTATCTTTTGAGCTGGAATGATGCCTGTCTTTATCTCTATCTTTATCACGATCTTTCTCCTTGCTTGAGCTCTTGTGGTCTTTACTCTTACTTTTATCCTTGTCCCTATCACGATCCTTGTCCCTATGCTTGTCCTTATGTTCAGATTTGTGGCTTTTGTGTTTGTCAGAATAACCGTTTAAGCCGTTCACATGGTTTTCAGGTTGATTTTCCGAACCTTCTTTGACTTTGTTGCTAATCTAGGGAATAGTATGAATAAATTACGAAGAGGAAAATATAGTAAAAATATGGGGAAATAAAAACAGTTATATAAAAACGATGAAAAACGAGCGAAAACCTCGTTTTCGGCGAGGATCATATGTAATATCCATATGCGGGACTTAGTTTCTGACGCCATTTTAGGACTTAGAAAAATTTCGCTTTGTTGGTGTGCCACGAGTAAAGTCGTGTTATTCTACAAGCCGTCCAGGATTTATAAAAACAGAAACGTGGAGGATGAAATTAAAACGATAAATATGTACTTACGGAGCTCGCATTTTCACTATTTGCAGAGTTTTCCACGTCCATAATGACACAATTTGTACATAGAATTCTCGACCCGACACAGCTCCCGGTTGGGAGAAAGCGTTCTCTCGACGAATATCTAAGTGCTCGAAATGGCTTATGCGCAGGCTCGGAGCCAATAACCTCTCGCGGCGCCAATTTCGAATTCACTTTTAGAAATAAGATCACGGTGATTCACTATTATTTGAACTTTGGAAGCCTTGAACTCGAGATGGGAGGAAGAGTCAACGTTCATTCGATGAAACCGTTCAAGGAAATTGTATGCAAATTCGGAATGTGTTCAAAATTGCAGAATAGAATCTTGGATGTTTGTCTAGTAAAGGAATGCGTTAATCAATGAAGGAACCGTTCAACGACATTTAGATGAATTAAATTAATCAGATAACAAGAATGTCAAAACTTGATATGCTCACTTTTTTGTGAATCGAGACTTGTTCAAAATTGTCAGGTATAGCGTCTTATTATGAGCACACACGTCATAAAATTTGGGATTATTACGTATACTACACAGCAGTCTGACAAATATTTTTAAGTTAATTTTAATAAGGTGGAATTACAAAAAAAGGAACAAGGTCATAACATCCATCAATAACGTCTTATAAGCATTCAAATTTTCATTCACGTTCATTTTATTCATTGGTGCTTCCTCCCTCAGGGTGTTGAATTATGCATTTGATTGGCTTGTGGATGATGGTAAATAGCAGCGTTGCCAGATGTACGATTTGAGCAGATTATGGACTTTTCTCATATACGAGGGTAGATTGTAAGATAGACAGGCGTCAAGGCGGATTAATTTGGCACGTCTGTATTTATCAGTATCTGAACAGACTATAAGCGGTATGTAAGACCATTGTAGCGTAGACTTCTGGTAGGTCTGGCAACTTCAAGAGCACATGGCAAAAAATAAGCCGCTCTTACACTACTCAGACATCTTTTTTGAAATTCTGCGGGTTTTAAAGGGCATCCGAGTAGATAATAATAATAGACGTGTTTATTAACAGAATTACAAAATTACAGCGGACTAATTGGCGAAGTTTAGAATTTGCTACTCGTACAGTTAGCCAGTCAGTACGCAACATTAAGTTAAGTGGTATATTAGCAATACAAAAATTTCTGAAATAGAAAAATCACTGACGAATGGTTATTAAAAACTTTACAGAGCTGCAATTATATTTATGAAAATATATGTGTTACATCCAAGATCAAACGGTTGATGAAATTAACAGAAGCTTAACCTTTTTACGGAACACGAGACGCGAATATTTTTTGTACGTCTCAGGAATCTCAGGATGATATCTTATGGCCACATTATACGTAAAACTACGTTTGAACAGGGTTGAACGATGATGTAGTATATTAATATTTTTGTTTCTTAGACATTTACATGGCAAATACCCTTATTAAAGGAACATTTTTCTCAGGTAACTAGGTTCGATGTTAGCAATAGTTTATACGCGAAATTTAAGTAATGATATCCTACTAAATCATTAATTTTCATCCACTTTAGTATCTGATATTTAGCCGAAACGTGGTCAAATTTACGCAATCTGAATATACCCCGCATACAAAATTATTTTGAATCAAGTGAACAATATTTTTAGTAAGATAATCGAGTGATGGAGAATAAACAATATTACAGTAATTTTAGATACAATTGAAGTTTCACACAGTTTTTTACGTAAGTTAAAATTTATTAAGTGATGATGAGCTATCAAAGAACGTAATCGGGGATAAGTTTTTTGACAGATATTCTTTACATGTTCAATAAACCTCAATTTGGTATCAAAAATCACATTAAGAATTTTAGCGGAGTCCGTGAACTCTAACATTTGACTGTCTATAGTAATTTTCAAGTGAGGAAGCACAACGCTTTTCTTTTGTTCATTACAAAACAAAAGGATCGTGGATTTACTTGGATTAACCTTTAGAATATGATTCGCAGAGAATTTCATCAAGTCGTTAATATAATTTTGCAAAATTTCATTAGTACTGGACACTTTCACAGGATTGACACAATATTATAAATGGGTGTCGTCTTCATATAAGACTGTATAAGAGACTTTTGGGAAGTCAAAAGTATATATTAAAAATAGCAATGGTCACAGTATAGACCCTTGTGGCATATCTGATAGTATAAACGACGTAGTCTACACTTTTTGATTAACTGAAACATGTTGGGTTCTATGGTGAAGATACCTACCGAAAACATTTAAGGATAATGTATCAAGATCTATGTAAATGAGTTTTGTAATAATAATTCATGGTTAATACTGTCAAAGACCGTTGAGTAGTCTATGGATATAAAAGTAACTGCCATTTTTTATCCAAGGCTAGTAAAGTATCATCCTGCATATTAAATAGAGCAGAGATTGTTCTATAGTTTTTCCTGAAACCAGATTGTGTATCTGGTATAAAGTATACTTCAAGATATAAAGGCAATTGGAAGTTTACTATATTTTTTACAATATTTTTGATATTAAGGGTAATAGACTAATTGGTCTGAGATCATTTCGTTCTGCTGGTTGGCCCTTTTTAGGAACTGGTACCCTACTGCTCTCCAAGCTGCTGGCAAATAGCAACTTGCAATATTGTGGCAAAGGATCACTGGTAGGCATAATTTAGCATTAAATATCTATCTATCTACCATCGTAACGTTTTGCATCTGATTTTAAGCTTCTTAATGCTTCTAACATATCTTTCGGCTCAACAATTTTAAAGGAACAGACATACGTAAAGGATTTAACTTATTTGTGGGGTAGTACTCAAATACTGGTGGATCCACAGATTTATTGCTTTAAAACTGAAATTTATGTCTAAGCGGCTTAAGCATGCCTGTAATTTTTTTTAATATTTTCATCAACTTGACAGAGTATATAAGCTCTTTCATTGTACCTTGTCATTGTATAAGAGCGCGAATCCAAAGCAACCTGAAATCATCACGATTTTCGGTAGTGTTTCTTGATCTGTAATGAGCAAGAGCTTTATTCTTTGCTTGAATAAGAAACCGTAGCTCCTCATTCAACCATGGTGCTGGTGGCTTGTTGACCCTTATAATTTTTTGAGGTACGTTGTTTGTCGAAAGTATTTATAATAGTGTTCGTTAAATGGTTCACCTTATCATCAATATCATTCTGGGAATACTTTATTTAAAGCAGAATTAGAAAGGTCACAGAGAAGAAAATCTTCAATAAATTTCTAATTGTTATACATTTTTGCCTTCTTTTAAATTCCGGTAACTCAAATTGAGAAGATACTACTTTATGGTCTGAAATACCATTAGGTAGCAGCTGTTTCCAGAGCACTTTCAGAATTTTGAGACTTCCGTCATGTTTACCATCATCTAGCGAATGTTATGGTCCAACGATTTCATCGGCAGCTAACAATTCAATTCGATACCATACTATGGAATCCTGGACTTCCGTAGCTCCAACAATTATGATGGGATTCTGTGCCACTTACAAGGAAGATTTGAAAGCATCACCTGCAGAGCTAACAGACAGTTATATTTAAAAACCTTGCCGGAACCTCACACGTGTTTGTGCTAGTTGACACTTCTCGATGGCCCTCACACAGTAGTTGGTAGGAGAGACTAGCAACTTCTCTTAAATCTACTAGGTAGAGAAACTACTGTCTCTATTGACAAATGTAAGCCTGCATCCGACGTCTGTAAATTAAGTGATAAGACTGGCAACGCAGTGTTCGACCTGGCAACACTGGAGGCGCCGGGCGTAGAGGGGGCTCATGGCTCATGGAATATGTGATATGTGATAAACCTTCAGTTCAAGTTTGAACTCGCTCGAGTCATTCGGCTGTCCGTAGCGAAGTCAGGTTTTTATATTAATAATAATAATAACTTTTTTATTGGAATGTTTATATGTGTTCTAAAAATGGGTGACAGCAATTTCGAGCAACAGTGTGCTACAAGGTTTTGCTTCAGACTTGGGCACAGTGCAACGGAAACTCTTTCTTAACCTCAGTAGGCCTACGGAGATAGTGTTTTGTTAAGAACCCAGGTTTTTTGGTTGCTTTTAAAGAATTTTCAGAAGGAAGAGTCGATTTAAGATGAACCACAAAGCGGAAGGCCTTCACCTTCAAGAACCGTTGAAAATATCGACAGATTCCTGGATCTTGGCTACAAACTACTTCATAATTTAATTGATTGTCCTCCAATCCTTCAACAGATCAAATTTTAAATTCCAACATTTGCTTCTCGCAATCATCAAGAACAAATATTCTACTTAAGTTACCATTACATGTTATGTCGACCAATTTGAACAGATTCGGGTGTTACTGTGATATATTTTCTATTAATGTTAATTCATTAATGATGATACTTATTCATTCCTGTGTTATACTCCTGGTGAAGGTTAATTTTCATCTATTATCTATTTTACTTTAGTTTTTTTTACTCTTTCAATACGTTTATACATTGACCAGATCGTCGGCAGACAGTCAGAATGATCGGTGAAGAGCTAAGCATCCCCCACACTGAAGCGGTAAGGCGATAGCGATAATCGCAACACTGTCTATGCGGTGCTGCGTTTTCCACGAAGTCCACAATGGAGAAATTAATTGAACAAGTTAAAAAGTACCCAATACTGTACGATTTAAGTCACGAAGACTATAAAAATTGCAGGAAAAAGGTTAAAGTGTGGGATCACATTAAACTTAAGATTTCACCAAAGCAATCGGGAGCCATTCGAAAGTATACGTAAAAACGTTGTGCATCTCTACGTAATTCGGGCATTAAAGTAATATATTCTCCATATATCCTTCTTTTTTTATTGATATCATGTATCCATTTCTTTTTTTTAAGACAATTATTAATTATTATTAACTAGTATATACTAGTATATACATTCTTTTGTACACCTTTGCCATATTTTACTCCCACATTTAAATTTCTTTACATATATTATGTTCGACACACTGAACATTGTGTTCTTGGCGTAGTAATACTAATATTATTATTAATAGTAGTAAGTAATAAGGTTTTTTAGAATTGTATCAAGAATAGTGTTTTTTAGTTTCCGAAATCATGTGAAAAGCGCACGAGTACGGAAATTTAGGCAGGACAAATGTTAACAGATAAAAAGAGTTTAACTACTGCATTAAGTAAAAAATTGCCAGATACATAAAAAAGTCGTGATGTTTTTGATTTTAATCAATTATTGTATGTATCATGAATCTAAGTTATTTCAAAAACGACACGAGTATCACACAAACATTATGCAAATATCAATTCCACCAGTTCATAATTTTTTCTATTGATAAAGAAAGCTTGCATATGGATTGGCAACTAGAATTCTTTGCATGTTTTGAATGACGAACATCGTTATAAAAACTTGAAAAAGATGTTTTGCAATCAGTTCAAAATCGAAAATGAACAGACAACAAGTCACTTCGATTTTGCTATGTGCTCTTTTGACTACATCTTTCGCTCATGGTAAGCAACATTTTTCCTAGGATTTAAAAACCTTTTTGCGCGAGAAGGAAAAAGTTTAAGTTTTATTATAACGATCATGAGATCGATCTAACTTTCTTGAAAGGCAACTTATATGTTTTATGTCATTATGAATTCCGAAGAGATCTTTTTATGGAGCCAAACATTTTGCACAACTTTATATTTTTACACACTTTCCGAATTAGTGGGGAGTTAAACAAAAATTAGGATGGCTAAAATTTTTGGATCTTCTTCTAGTAATTAAAATTAAGGATGGACGCATGTTTCCACACCTAAGCTACGCAGTCGGCTAACTTACCCAACAAAGAAATTAATGATGATGGATCCATCGAGTACTAAGAATTGTAGACGTAAGCTCACTCTACTCTCGGAATGTCTGGAACAACAATGACGATAGAGTTTGTTTTACGAACATCTGCGGGATTAACATCATTTATTATTCATCTTATCTTCCCAAATTACCAGGTGCACTCCAATCTGAGAAAAAACGGAGGAGTTGTGGCTTTTGTCCGCAGCAGTCTTTCCTACTCTAGAGAGACGTGTCTTTGGAATCAGACCGAAAGGACATTCTGTGACAAAATTTCTTTGGGATCCTCATAGCAGCCGCGTTGTCCTGGCATTTAGGCTTCTACCTGCGCGGCTGCTTTGATGTAAAACAATTGCCATGGTCAGGTACAATACACTTCGGGGTTATATCTCCAAGTAGAAGATCTGAAGGGTATTTCTCCAAATAGTTTGTTTGACTTCCTCATGAGGTCGGAATTACTGCAAAAAATATATTTATTAGATATGAGCCACAATAAAGCAATAAGTCTCTGTGAAGGATGGTGATTAACCGACTCATGAAAAACTTAACCTAACATGAATATTTCCTGTTCTGTTCTCAAAATGTTTTGTTCACACAACGGTCATCTAAAGGCCAACGACAATGGTGTTTTTTGAGCGAAGTTTCGTCGACAAAAAGGCTGGTATAACATACGAGGGATGTCTTTTATGTTTTGCATATGGAAATAAAACAACACGGTAGGTAGTTTTAAATGACTTTATTGTCTTTCGAAGTATTCTCGACGAAGATTAATACACATTTGCATGCGCTCGAACCAATTTTCGAAGCACTCATTCCACTCGTTTGCTGGCAGATCCAAAACGGCATTTTAGAATGCGTCAACTGCTTCTTCTGGTGACTGGAACCTTTGAGCACGCAGTCTGTTTTTAATTTTCAGGAAAGTAAAGAAATCGTTAGGACTTAGATCGGGACTATATGGAGGATGGTCCAATAATTCCACGTTTTCTTCCGTTAAATACTGGCTTGTTTTTTGGGCTGTGTGCGAGCTTGCATTGTCTTGGTGGAGGATGATTCTTCTTTCGGGGTGATTTTTCGAAGCTCGGTGATGATTTTTGGCAAACAAATTGTGGTATACCAATCCGCAGTAACAGTTCTTTGCTCATTAAGGAGGAATTGTTGCAATATGACCCACTTTTGATACAAATGTCGCGACCACCTTTTTCGAAACACTTCGGGAACGGATCACTTTTGTTGGCTTTTCTTCACCTTGGAGCACCCAAACAGCCGACTGTCGTTTATTTTCTGGTTCATAACAGTAAATCCACGATTCATCACCACTAACAATGCTGTACACATTTTTTGAGTTTCCGGAATTGAAACGGTCAAGCGTTTTTTGACACCAATTAACGCTGGCTGCTTTCTGCTCTTCAGTCAACAGGTGGGGTATCCAACGATAAACTAATTTTCTTACTCCTAATTCTCCATGTAAAATTTTTTGAATTGAGGTCTTTGAGATCTTCAAGTACGCCTCAATCTCGCGATATGTCACATTTCTATCTTCAATGAGTTTGTGCACAGCATCGACGTTTTCCTGGGTGACTGCCGTTTTTGGTGCACCCACCCTGGGATCGTCGTTAAGACTCACCCGTCCACGTTTGAATTCTACATACCAACGGGAAATTGTCGACTGATGTGGCGCGTCGTTGTCGAAAACAGACAGTAACTCAGCAAGGCATTCTTGTTGCGATAATTGTCTCTGAAAGTTGTAATAAATTATGGCGCGAAAATGTTCTCGTTTGAGTTCCACTTTTCTAATGACTTGGTGATACTTAAAAAATCACTGTAGTGAGAACACTGCACGTATCGTTGTGAAACTTTGAATTTAAGTTTACTAAAGAGTGAGGTTAAGATTCAGTACTGACGTTCGATCCGCGCGGCCTAGTATGTTTCTATATACAAAACTTAAAAGACATCCCTCGTACATCTCTTCATCAATAATTCCTGATTAGTAAAGGCAGTAATAATTTCACATTTGCAGAGACAGCTCTTTAAATAACCCAACAGAAATAAATCTAATGACGACAAATTCGGACTTCCAAATGGTTATACGAAGTCGTACCGCTTCTGCACTTTCGTAAAAAATGTTAAACAGCTGCTAACGTACCTTTACAGATCTACTCCGGGCAAAACATTTGGCCCTTTCCAGCAGATCACAACTACATCATCAGGACAGGGCGTCTGGTGGTTCCCAGGATCAGTGTTCATGGATCTGCAAATCATCTAACGACAACAAGAACAGCACATCGTTGCAGCTATTTTTTAATGCAACCATTGAACTTATCGGTATAGTGAATGTTGAAGCTAAGAGTGCTTTGGTCATTGATATCAAAGCTGGACTGGCAGCAGTCTTGAATGGTATGTAATAAGTGTTTTTACCATTATACTGTATCATACTATGAAAAAATCCTGCAATTTCTTACAACAGCCATAACTGCTACTACAGCCATATTTGAGGAGCAATAAATTAAATTGTTCCAATTTCCAGAACATTTGTATAATATTATCTATACACTGAGAACCAAATTTGACTGACGGCTTGAGTTGAATGTGTACAAGGGAGAAGTGCGTATAGACACATGTGTTAGAAAAAGATAGAAGCCAGCGGAATAGGTCAGATTCGCCACATATTCTGCAACATTGCATCATTGGTTCGCTTGGCAACACCGTATCTCGTACATTCTATTGCAAGGTTTCCACCTCCATGATCATAGATGAGCCATGTTGGTCAGTACCCATCTAGCGTTCACTGGGGAGTGTCGTCCTGCTTTGAAATGCTTTTCACCTGCACACACGCATGCAGTGATAATTTGTATTGCGTAATGGTATTTGTTTCATTTTCCGACCGCTCGCTGTCGCAAAATGTAACAATAACTGAGGATGTCTTGATTTTATTGCCATTTTTGGAAATCAAAGATAATGCTAAAATAAATTAAAACATCAAAATTGGAATAAACAATTCTAATCAAAATGAAAACAAAATATAAAATTAAATGGTCGAACAGACCTCCTTCTTGTGCTTGACAGTAACATAACCTATTGTAGAAGCCTGTGCGAACATTTTCTGGTGTAAAAAATTGGCATCGTGGCATGATCTTCTACGTCACCGTTGTTGGGCAATGTGGTGATGACCCTCGCTCTTCAGCCGGCTTCTATATCTTTCTAACATGTGTGTTGAACTCAAGGCGTCATACAAATTTGGTTTTCCCTGTAGTTAGTTTTGAATTTATATGGGATTCAAACTCAACCAAGTAATTTGGATCCCAAGAGCATGTGACTTGAGCAGCCATCATTACAAAAAAATTCGACGATAGACAATTATGAAAACTTGGAGTTATAGTGAGGAATTCGGTTAAAATGGTGGCACTTCCGATGTTACCGAAAGTAGATATCAAAACTTGCTTATTTTAATCAGAACGCCCAAGACGCAGTTATTATTCTAAGCTTATGATTTTTTGTTATTTTTCTCTCTTTTTTAATGTGCAATACACCCACCATAGGTGAAAAAGTCATACAACTGACCATAAAAAAGCTGTATGGTCGGATATAAAACGAGTATTTGTAAATATTTCCAAAACTGCAAATTTGTGAAGTATATAACCTTATATCAAAATGTACTTACTTTTATTGCTTAAGACGATGAATTATAAAAACAGGGGAATTTTGGCATTTTTTACAATTTAACTTTCATCCGATTTTTGATTATCAAAATCGTAGCCTCCCTTCTATAAGGAGGCAGTTACAAGTCGTTCGACAAAGACCATTAGTGATTTTTTACACGAAATTTGATATTGATTGATGTTATACATGAAATGTGTTTAGAATTTTGAGTAGATTTCACAAATTGCTAATATCTATCTTCGGCTCGTTGCCGTTGGCGCGAGAGGGTCCAAAGACTGCCCGTTAGAGAAAAGACATCGATTAGTCCAGTAACCCTCCTTTGATAAGCGTCGAACAAGGGTAATACAGTCGGGGCGGCGGATCCCCAAACATGTGAGCAGAACTCGAGGCTGGGTCTTATTTGGGCCTTGTACAGAGTGAGGAAGCTCTGTGGAGAAAAGTAATTACACTTACAGAAAATATATTATTTACTACTCATTAATATTAGGGGTGTTTTATTTGAAATAAGCAGATTGGCGTCACCATTTTGCAAATATTTTAGCTGAATCCCTCACCTAAGTTGTCAGATAACTTTAAGTTTCCATAATTATCTAACGTCAACTCTTCTAGTAGTCTGTCGCTGTAGTTCTACGTAGTTCATTTCAAAGTAGAAAGTAAAACAATCAAGTCGTACTACTCTAGGTACTAGTGGTTCTGCTATCATAGTCAACGTGTTGGACGGAACTGGGCTCTACATTGAAGGGGGCAAGTTCAACAAGACTTGGTTAGCTGCAAAGATTAGCTTCGAAGCTTACTTCAAACAGCTGGAGTCTCTCGAAGTATTTATAAAGCTGAATATCGGTGAAAAGTTCACCTTGAAGCAGGTAAGTGAGTTTGAAGCTGAATTTAAACTTCAATTTTCTTGAAGACCTTCTCTTATATCATTGATTAACATATTCTACATGAAGATAATTAAACTGATGCTACATTTCTGCATCCAAAAAATGATCCGAGGTTAATTGAAATACCACATCGACATTTGTTTGAATTTGTCACAACTATTTCTCTATTCACTAGAGACTGAGTGTTTCAAATTCGATCCTCAGCATTGAGATCTCGCAAACGGTAAGACATACGTAGTGAGCTAGATAGCGGCAAAGTTGGGTATTTAGATAACTAACAAGATGCCGCTTAGAAAGTTATGAAATCCAAAGTACTTCCGGAGAAACCAGGGAAAAAAATAATTTTCCTAAAATCATTTTAATTTTTTCCTGACTTTATTTGTAGTGGGACTTAAGAATAAATAGCACATTAGAATTACCACTTTTTCTCCTCTACAAGATAGTATAATTAGAGCTTCAATATAACGTTTTGTCCATTGTCCTCCAGTCTCAACTTTATTTTTTCTAATGGACGCCATATTGGGTTTTTGCATATACGAATATATAATATGTCAGACATGGGCATTGCCAAACATTAGTTATTTAAAAAAAAATAGATTTTTTTAGGTAGGTAGGTTGATTATTCTTTGTGGTACATATTTAAATGTGCAAAATTCCAATATATGTAGTGTACATATGAAGAAACAAAGTTGGTGATAGAAGTCGAAAGAAGAAATATCGAAATGAAAAGTGGACCACATCATCTTGTAGAGTAAAAATGAGTTTGTGATAGATAGGCCTATCTACGAAATTCCGTTTTTTTTTAAATAACTAAGGATGGGTAATGTCACTGTATGACAGGTTAACATTCTTGGAATCATGATTAAAAACTCCATTTATTTGTGCACAAATCCAATATGGCGTCGAGAAGAAACAATAAAGTTGATGCTGGAGTACAACAGACGGAAGGTCATATTGAAACTGATTATGTCTTACTGTTGAGCAGAAAAAGTGGCAGCAATAATGTGAAATTTATTTGTAAATTCCATTACAAATAATGTCAGGAAAAAACTGAAACGATTTTGAGAAAATATCGGGAATACTTTGAATCTGGTAACTTTATAAGCTGCATTTAGTTAGTTACCTAAGTACACAACTATGCCATCGTTTAAGCGCCTTCATCTCTCACGGTTTCCGAGATCCCAATGGTGAGGGTCGAATTTGAATCATCCGGTATAGTTTGAAAAGGTTAGTGCCTCGCAGATGGCGCTGTAGCCATCTATATGCTTTTACATGCTCATATAGACAGTGCCATCTGTGAGGCACTACCATTTTTAAAGTGAATATAGTTAATAGAGAAACGGGTGACAAATTCTCCTTTTATCTCGGATAATTTTTCGGATATGGGAATATAGCAGGTTAGCTATCTTCGGCCAGAATACGTTACTCAATGCTTACATCTAACTCCCTGTATAATAGGCGATTTTAAAACTGGACGTTGGTCGCATCGGTATTTGGTGAATGTACTATGCTCTTTCGCCAAAATTTAAAATCATATACAGTGAAAGCTCCCATAAGCGGACACTCACGGTTCCGTAACTTTTGTCCGCTTATGGGAGGTGTCCGTTTAAAAGAGAGTATGTAAGTATAGAGTATAAATAACGGGGTATATAATCATGAGGAAATGAGGTATTATAATCATGAGAAAAATGAAACAGAAACTCGCCACATTTTTAAAGTATGTATTTATGCTATATATCTATATAATATATGTACATATACGCATACAAAAACATCAATGCTTCAATACATGGTTCGAGAATTTAAAAAAAACATTATTCTTTAGCTTGTTGAAAAAAGTTTAAAATGGTTGTCTGACGAAATTTCACCATCTTTTGCTGAAGGAGACAATTTTCGTAATAACTTTCTAAATTTTTCAAATGTTGAAATGCAGTGAAATCATCTTTAGCAAATTTTTTCAATATAGAAATATGATTTAGAGCTTCCCCATATGAATTTATCGTTTTTGAACCGCTTAGTGAGTCCACCAGTTCCACTTCTTCATCTGAGTCGTTTGGACTACCATATTCAAGTTGGCCTGGGCTTTCTACATCCAAATTCGAAAAGTTGCCAATGGCATTTTATTCTGTTGTTATGTTATTGTCTATGGCCAGGAAATCATCTACTTTCTGGGGATCTGCTACTCCTAAATGTTTGGCATGTCGCAGTAACTGAGCAAGTGTCGCTAAGGGCAGATCGTCTTCAGCATCGCAATAATTTTGCTCAGCAAATTCTGAGCTACATTCACTTTTTCTGAATCCAGCTTTGCCAAAACAGTTTTTAATTGTAGAGGAATTTACTTTATTCCATGCTGTTTTTATAAAATACAAAGATTCTAACACATTGATAGACTTTGTAAGCTCAGATAAGCTTTGACCATCGTCAATTTTTGTTAAAATATGTTTTAAAATCAAGTGCCGATAATAAAATTTAAAGTTCTGTATGACACCTTGATCCATGGGCTGACAAACAGAAGTTGTGTTTGGCGGTAAAAATATAATTTTCTCATTTTTCATTTTCATATCACGAGGATGAGAGCATGCATTGTCTAAAAATAAAAGAACTTGCCTTTTTTGGATTCTTATTTTCCGGTCGAATTCGACTAACCACTCAGACATGATTTCTCGGGTCATCCATGCCTTTTTGTTGGATTTCCAAGTCGCTGGTAGATCCTTAATAGCAACGTTTTTTAAAGCACGGGGACGAGCCGCTTTCCCGATCACAATCAAATCGCATTTTTCACCGGCCATATTTGCACAGAATAAAATGGTTAGTCTATCTTTAGACAACTTTCCACCCACACATGTTTCTCCTTTAAAGGACAGAGTTTTGTCGGGCAATGCGCGAAAAAAAAGTCCACTCTCATCTGCGTTGTACACATCTTCTGGTTTGTAGCCAAGCAACATGGACGGAAGTTTCTCCAAAAATTGTGACACATCAACTTGTTCTACTGCAGCAGCTTCGCCAGATATGCATTTGAAACTCACACTATGTCTCTTGCGCCACTTTTGCAGCCACCCGTCGGACGCACTGAAATTATTATAGCCCAAAGTAGTGGCGATTTCTTTAGCTTTCATTTTCACTAACGGCCCTGAGATTGGAATGTTCTGACTTCTAGCTTTCACAAACCACTCAAAACATGTTTTGTCTATAGCAAAACCTTCCTTTTTTAAAAAATCCTTCTTTTGATTTATATTAGTTCCTGATTGCCATTTACTCCTGATATCTTCCTTATTTTTGGCAATTTCAGCTGCTTGCGTTTTCCCAATGTTAAACCTCTTTGCCAAATGAGGAACTGAAACACTTTCTCTGTCTAATACGTTAACAACTTCCATCTTTTCCTTTAACGAGAGCATCCTTTTTTTTGGTGCCATTTTACAGTTACAATAATAAAATACGTAACTCAATCAACTACGAATTTGCCTGAACTGAAGACAAGCCACAAGATTACATACAGGCTACCCAACGAAATGCGTAAATGGGGAATCACCTAATATAAATCGGGGAATTACCGAATTTTATGTATGTAGATATGTGCATTGCAATAAGCGGAACTAAAAAATCGTCCGGGTATTAGAGTTTCGCGTCCGCTTATGGGAGATTTTTTGATCACATACAGGAAAATCTAGTGTCCGCGTCCGTTTATAAGAGCGTCCGTTTATCGGAATGCATTTAACATTGAAAATTGATGGCTGAAATTCGGTTCCAGGAACTTTGTCCGGTTAAAAGAGATGTCCGCTTATAGGAGCTGTCCGCAAGGAGAGCTTTCACTGTAGTTATATAGATTTTTGGTCAAACAATGACTATACCCCATTCGTAGCCCATTTACGCCCAAACAAAACACAACATGCCCAAACGCGAGTTTGTACAGGTCCGTATTTTCCCCAATGGTCTTGGAATAATCTAACGAAATAAATGATGATAAATGATTTTTATAGAAAGAAGTGCACATACTTTTCACAATTCTTTATTCGCTGGAAGTACTCGAATCATCGTCCGAATGGTTAATACTAATTATTACAGCTACAATTTGAATATCGGTCGTATTGTCCAGATTCCACATCTTTGTTTCGATTGTCTCTTGAACGGGACGGCTGCAATCTTTCCAGTGGTTTGCCATCACTTTGTTGACAGCTTCATGAAACAAAATTTTCACGTCAGAAAATTTGAATGTTCTATTGTTTGAAGCCACATATTTTTTTATTCTTGTCCAAATCATTTCGATGGGATTTGATGCGCATTGATAAGGGGGTAACATTGAAACGGTCTTATTTTGGTTTTTAGCCATTTCGCCAACAAACATTAAGATTATATTTATATTTGTGCTGCCTGATTAGATGGATAAGTTCTGCTTTGACCATATTTTCATTGAAACTAATGTGTTTTGATAGGAGCAACTGTTGAATTTCTGCTTTTCTTGTGGACATTGTGGGAATTTTTTCTAGTTTTTAGTGTGGTATGCATCATTGTCAAGTACAATGATGATATTGCCGCCAAGCTTTGGGAGCGTTTCTTCAAACCGTCGTCAGTAGTTTTCTCAAATGCCCATAAGGCTGTGTGCACAAAGCCATCTTCACTGCTAATGTGACAGATAACAAATCGCTTTTCTTTTCCTGGAAATAATTATTCCATATAATATTAAGAAAGCTAATAATAATTCAAGTATAGAATCTAACAGGTGTTGGTTCCAAATCTACCAGATATAGCCAAGCTTAAGTTTTCAGCGGTGGCTCATAGATTCAGTCAACTGGTACCATTTTTACAACACAAATGACGAATTGGTTAGATACATGTACCTGACGGATTCTTTAGGCCAGTGGTTAGTTCATCTAAGAAAATTTGTCTTGCTGATTTAACTGGAGATCAGCACATACTTTAGGTTTTGTATGTCCTGTATTTATCCAGGTTTTATCCAAGTAATAAATCTTACTGCCCTGGTCACGGTATTTCTTTATCGATTTTAAATAATTTCTTCTCCATAAAATAATCTCTTGGTTGTTCATCAAAATTCTATTTCTGCCCCGTTTTATATTCTCAAAATGAAGTTATTTGAGTAATCTAAAGAATGTGGTCATTTTTAAAGTAGGTAAGTCTTCATTACTATTAAATTCCTGTAATACTTTGTCCATAGTGGTTCCTGCCTTTCAAAAAATTGATGGACTTTGCGTCTGATGGCATTCGGATCAAAGCTATCAACTGTTTTTTATATTCTTTAACAATGTTGAAAATTGTCTTAGAACATAAACCTGTTTTGTTCTCCACACGTCTTTCAATATCATGAATTTTCATTTCAGGATGCTCTAAAATTTTACTCTTATAAATGTTAAGGAAAATCATTTGCCTGACTATTCAAATGTCCCTTCTTGTCACGTTTTCGGGGAGGAGACATCACTGAAGAAGAAGCATGGCTGAAGGAAGCATTGGGGGAAATATTCTCCGTTTAATATCGGCATGCCGGCGATAACCCGAGCCTGAGTTCAATCCTGTCGAATCCTGCACTTATTCATAGTTTTATGGCCAAATGACCAATAGCTATTGCAACGCTTACGCGGCTGCCGCTTTGCCACGGTGCATCTTTGATGGGCCGGGGCGTAGATGGACTACGATAGGGTATAGCAGAATTGCTAATATTGTTTTTTTAACGTTTGAAGATAACGGACCATATCCTCCAAGAACTGGGCGAAATCCTGAAACACCTGTCCGTCGAAATCGCCCAAAACCTACATGGCGATCTCAAGGTAATTGTTGGGCTTTTGGAAGGAGTTCTGTCCAACGTGTTCAAGTTACTCCGAGGACCTTTGAAGGGCTTATTGCAATTGGTTGGCAGTGGTGTCACCCATTTAGCTGGAGACATCCATTTCTTCATAGGAGTTTTAGAGGGCTTGGCCACTTTCGTTGGGCACATTGCTGGGGGTATTGGAGAATTGATTAAGCTCAAGATCGAGTTGGACTTGGGGCTTATTTTTGGAGCTGTAAATGGTATGTAAAAGAGCTTTGATCAGTTGTTGGGTTGGGCAATCATAAAATAAGGTGAAATTTGATGGTATAATAGACTCTACAGGCTGGCGGAAGATAAACGTTATGATTTGAATGAATTATAATACGCCCGCAAAAGGACGAGGCACAAAACATATCACAAAACATATATATATATATATATATATATACAAAGAGAAAATGATCATGTGGAAAAAGGTATATTACAATAAGTAGGAAAATAATGGGCAAAAATCGGAAAAAGGAGGAAAGTGGATTCGAGCAGGAAATAGGATAGGTAACTAGAGCGATACGTATTTCTGCTGATTGGCTTCATCAGGTCCAAAATGAATGCACATATGAAACTACAAAAGTAGATACACATGCTCACACATCCGGATACGGGTGTAACCTGAGGAAACGAAGATGGAGAGCGAAAAAGACGACACACACACACGGTCCACAACAAGAGCCAACTCCTACATATTGTAGTATAAAATGGCTAGAAGACCTCGAATTTTCAAGGAGACATCTAACCACAACCACGCGGCCGGTTATAGCCACTTGCTGTGGTACTTCAAGCCCAAAGGATCTACAAAGAGAAAATGATCATGCGGAGAAAGGTATATAACAAAATGAAGGAAAATAATGGGCAGAATCTGCAAAAAGGAGGACAGTGGATTCGAGTAGAAAATAGGATAGGTAACCCGAGCGATACGTATTTCTACTGGTTAGCTTCATCAAGCCCGAAATGAATGCATATATGAAACTACAAAAGTAGATACACATGCCCACACATCCGGATACGGGTGTAACCTGAGGAAAAGAAGATGGAGAAGATGATGTGGACTTCGTGTGTGGTTTTTTTCCCTCTCCATCTTCGTTTCCTCAGGTTATACCAGTATCCGGATGTGTGGGCATGTGTATCTACTTTCGTAATTTCATATGTGCATTCATTTCGGGCCTGATGAAGCCAACCAGCAGAAATACGTATCGCTCAGGTTACCTATCCTATTTTCTGCTCGAATCCAATGTCCTCCTTTTTGCGGATTTTGCCCATTATTTTTCTACTTTTTGTTATATATATATATATATACAGGGTGACTTCGAAGTTGAGTCATTTATTTTAACAGTGAGTAGATCTGATCAAAAGAAATGTTTTTTCCTTTACCATTTTTCTGGTAAATTAAAGTAACAAAGTTATAGCCCTTTGGAAGTTTGAGTATCGCCTTGTCTCAATAATAATATCATGTGCTCGTGTTTGGCAACAACGGATATAATCCGCCTTATCGGTTCATCGCATCGGAAACAAAAAAGCGAAAGAATTTGGAACGATGTTTTTACAATTATTTTATTCAGTTCAGTTATACATACAGTCAGTGTCAGTCGGTACTGTGTGTGAATAGTGTCTGTTGCGTGGCTCAAACGAAATAAAAAATGGCACATGTTTATGCGGATCGGTTTCCCAATCGAGTGCAACCAACCCCTCGTGCCTTTGTTAATGTAGTACAACGGGCTCGTGAATCAGGTGACTTAAGACCTCACAGGGGACCTCACGATCAAATACAGGTCCGCACTGAAATACTTGTCGGGAGGATACTTTATAAAACAAGGTAAACATTTTTTTAATTTTTTTTTTATTTTTACACACATATTTTGGTTTATCTTCCTTCTACAATAATTATCTGAAAATTAATGACTCAACTTCAAAGTCACCCTGTATATATATATATATAAAGAATTTGAACCATAACCGTAATATTGCGCCACTCTATCTCTTTCAATTCTCTCTGTCTTTTAATTTACTATCTACATATATATGCCCAAATATTTGAATGGTTCACTTAACTGAATTTTTTTATATTACTCGTAATATTTATAGTATTTTCATCTGTTTAAGCATTTTTTAAATATCTTGTAATACTTTTGTAGGTGTCCAGGCTTTGGTCAACCTTTTGCTGGCATTGGTGAGTAAAGGAGCCATACATCTAGTTGCTGGTCTTTTGAACAACGCTGAGGCACTTATCGAGGTCATTGCCAAATTGGGAGGTGGAATTCTCCATGGAGTTACTGGGGTAATTTGTTCTTCTTTAATTCACTTTAACTTTAGGTACTGATTAACGTATTCTCTCCGAAGATAGCCAACGTAATACTAGATTTTGGCATCAAAAAAATTAACAGAGACGGAATAAGATACCGTGGCCTAGACTATGAGAATTTGTCATAACTATGGGTGGAAGTTCCACATACATAACTTTGCTTGATGTTTTTCTTTCTATATATTTGCATTTCATTTATATAGAATCTCCAACGACGATTCATATGGATATGGAAAACTACTAGGAATAATTTTTTAAAACATTCAAGCAAATAAGTCCGATACACTGTTTTGAGTAAAGCAAAGTCGTTTGGAATTCTAGGAAGCAACATTTGAGATAATATATGACAAATATTTGGTATACTGCAAATTTAATATATATATAGTTTTTGGCCAGGGCTGTTCTGTAATCGCGGAAAAACTCCAAATGGTAGAAAAATTATGTAGGTACATTTTTTGTGACGTTCGTCAGGTAATCCTTGGCCCTCTATTACAGACAGAAAAATATTAATAGTTTTTGTTAATCGGCCCTGTTGCGATAGAGCAATCGTGGAAAAAAACTAAATTAATCATTGGTCCTTCTACAACTTGGAAAGTGTCACAGGATTTTAAACATATTTTGAAATGCCTATCTACTGGTACCAGTATTATGACCGAAAAATCTATAACTTGCCCAAAATCGACTCTATCTGACAAGTTTGTCATGCTTTCACCATTGTGATCTTCGAAACGGCAAGAGATACGGGTCTGTTGAATGGTGGCAAAGGGTCGGTTTTATATATTTTAGAAGATGTATTTGAGATACATGGAAAAGGGAACGAATTTTTCCAGAATTGTTTCTAATTTTCTCTAAATTTATTTGAGATAGGATTTCAAAATAAATTTCACATTATGTATGCCGTTTTTGCATGCTCGAATAGCTTTTAATTCTAATTTCAAATATTATAGCATGTCTTACATTATTATAAAAAAAATTCTTGGTTAGCCTTTCATAGAATATCAAAGATGATATGTTACGCATTGATATAAAACTTCAAGTGCCTAACTTCATATAGTTGGTTTAAGCTCATCGAATGAGGACCAACATAAAGTAACTCATTTATATTATTTAAGGGAAATAATGGAGACAGTGTAGAAGAAAAAAGGTGTTAATCTTATTTTGTAATTTGTATGAAATTTTTGGACAATTTGGATATGTTTGAAAAGTTTTGTTTCGGATTAAAACCAAAGAGTAAATTCGGAAATACTTTGGATTTCAGAACTTGCCCCCATAAAGTGCTCCGCGTCCTTTAGGCGAATGTCACAAAACATTATTTACTCTGATCCGTCTATATATTTATGGACCGGATTGACCAACGAAAAAGGCAAATTCTTATAGCAATAACGAATCTTTTGATTTGATTTTAGCTTACGGCATTTTCAAGATGAAGAAGATCTACGTAAATTCTGCAAACTGCCCTCATATTTTGAAACACCCTATATTGCTTTGTTTTTCTGACTTAGTTTCTGATGCTTTGGACAGGAGTGCCCAAGTCGATGCTATTTATACTGACTTCAGCAAAGCTTTCGATCGAGTTAATCATAATTTGCTATTAAGATAGCTTGCTGACGTTGGTGTTCGTAGCACCCTTGTAAAGTGGGTTCCATCTTATTTGCGTGATAGGGAGTTCTTTGTGTGTATAAACGGGTATAAGTCGAAAATTGTTACTCAGGGTAGCCACCTAGGTCCTCTGTTTTTCCTAATCTATCTAACGATATCGCTCAATGTTTCAGCCATTGTCAATTCCTTCTTTACGCAGACGATTTAAAGATGTACCGTATAGTTGAAAACCTTCAGGACTGCACCAAAATACAATGCGATATCATCAGACTCAATGATTATTGTCAGAGAAATGATCTGCCACTCAATATTAATAAGTGTTTCTCAATTAGCTTTACCAAAAAAAGGAACGTATTACAGTATATGTATCAGATAGATGATGTTAATATTAATTCGGTGAGCACTATGCGGGACCTGGATGTTACACTTGATACGAAATGGAGCTTTAATAACCACATAGATAAAACCATTAACAAAACCAATAAGATGCTTGGCTTTATTAGGAGACACTCTGGATACTTTAATAACCCTGCTACCCTGGTAATCACTATATTATGCGTTTGTACATAGTAAGCTTTTATTCGCGTCTATTATTTGGAACCCACACTACGAAGTCCATATAAGAAGGATTGAGTCTGTCCAACATAAGTTTCTACGGGTTTTGGCGTATAAGGCGAATATCAATATACATAATCATGATTATAGCTTGGTAATGGAACGTTTTAAAATCTTACCTCTATTTAAGAGAAGGGTATTATCTGATTTGTGCTTTATTCACCGAATCTTAAACAATCAAATTGATTGTTTTTACCTTTTGTCTAAAATCAATATATATGTACCGCCAAGGGTACACCAGAGGCACTGTACGTACTTCAATATCCCGTTTTGCAAAACAAATGTTGGATTAAACTCTCCGCTAATACGAATGCAAAGAAATCTCAATACCTAGGGTGCATTTTCTGATATTTTTGTTTGCCAATTCTTAAACTTTAAATACCTATTAAAGAACAGGATGTTGGCTACTCCCTTGTAAACGACGCTACTGTTCTTTAACTTTCTTCTTTGTATCCTTATTGCTAAGTTGTTTCACATGCATTTATATCGTTTTATAACAGTGCTTGTAACTTGGTATTCTTTGTAAGCTATGTTGTGGATGTCTTTTTTGGAGAATTTCTCTGTTTGACATCCAGAAATTCTTAAACAAATAAATAAATAAATAAATACGTCATCTCTTTCCAACAGGTATTCAAGCTTCTGGGATCCATCCTGTCACTCCTCAACGGCAACATCAAGATCGACGCTTTCATCAGCTTTCTCATTGACTTCGCGATATCCAACAAAGATGGCGGGTCCATAGACCTAAACGTCCACTTAGAGGGCTTCCTGAAGGTTATTGAACTTAGCGGAGCTTCTAATGATTCGAAGGGCTTGATTGAGTTCGTACATAACCTCCAACAAGGCACTCTTAATTTCAACGGTGTGGACTTATCTGCTGTTCTGAAAGGTTTATTGGGAGGAGTCGGCAACCTTTTAGAATTCGTGGTCGGCATTTTGCTGAAACTTGAAGAACATGCTGTGAAAATCGGTACTGCCATCCCTGCATTGTTGCTGCATTTGTTCCAAAGTGTCAGTCCAGCAGGTTTGCAAATTCTCGCTAAACTTGGAATCAACATTGACGTAGACGCTAACGGGCACTTGGACATTGTAAAAGCATTTAAGGGAATTATCTTCAAAATTCCAAAAATATTGTTAGCTCTGAAGGAAGGAGATATCAGCAAAGTACTGGAGGATCTGCCAATATTTGGAACTATCTACAACGCGGTAGCCAAGGCAGTTAAAAAGGCAAGCAATGGCACCGTAGATCTGAAGAAGCTACTATCTCGAGATGGTGACAAAAATGTCATTGAACAGATTAAGAACCTAATCGAGGGTATTCTGAAGTCCGTAGTTTCCGGTAGTGGTTCTGCTGGAGGTAGTTCCTCGGGTGGAGGGAGTTTTGAAGCTTCTGGAAGTAATGGAGGAAGTGGAGCTAGTGGGGGTTGGAGTTTTGGAAACAAATTCACAATTGGAGTATAAGGTAGGTTTTTATTTTCAACGCCAATTGGTAAAGTACTGCAATCAAATAATTTTTAAAAGCAGATCTTTTTTTGGTTTTGATGAAATTTTGTCACAACTACTGCCTACTATGTGAAGGACGAAAAAACAAATGACAAATAAATAAAATCACCGAATATTCGTAGACACTTCCAACACCTATTATTTTCTGATTTTTTTGGGTTGAAAACTGGAGTATGTCGAGGTATTGTAAATTTTGATGCATCTTTCCTATCAGTGTAGGATGTTCTGTTTAAGTCTGCTATCATGGCAGCACTATGCATCAGAAATTAATTTTATTATATCATAAATCATGTATACCATTGAATCAGAAATTTGATAGATTTATGTTCTATAGTTTGTGATGTAGGCTTACGTTATTTACTTATTTCCTTTTGAGTCTTTTGAATAGGTTTAAACCATTCTTTTTTGAATTTTCCTAAATTTTGGAAACCTTTGTAGACGTGGAAGGTAAATTATAGCCATGTACTACTTCACGCCATTTTTATTTGCTAGACCATCACATATCACAAACACAGTTCTCCAAATAATTTAATGATTGTTTTCTGTCGTTTCAGATTAATCTACGATGGGTCTATGAAACTATGTAAACCAACGCTATGAATTGGCAATCGTTTTTATGAAATGATTATTTTAAACATATTGGTGTTAGATGATATAAATAAATGGTATGCGTCTTTTAAGATTGACTGTTCTTTCCTCAAACATCAAGGTGTATTTTCCAAAAAAATTATTTCAACAGAACACTATATCAGAAGAGTACATTATCAGTGCTTTTTGCTCGATTATTTTCTTAACAGATCGGGACTTTCTGACAGCTACGGGTGTGTCCTCACCATCAAAGATCCAAACTTCGTTTTGAGCCTCGTAATAATAGAGCCAGATCTCGTCACCTGCAGGATGCTGTTTACACACCGAGATTGCCCCTTATCAAACATTTTCAGCATCTTTCGGCACCAAGTCGTACGACGAGTCTTCTGCTCTTTTGTCAGACTATGCGGTACCCAGAGAGAACAAAGCTTCCTTATGTGTCAATGGTCATGCAGAATTGAATGAATTGCACGTGCATGTAGGTGTAAGGTCTACTATATCTGTTGGTATGTCACTCTCCGGTCTTCGTCCATTTTCCTCACAGCAATAATGTTTTTCTCTGTTCCGATTATGGTTGAACCAAGCCTAAAGTTATACCGTAAAACTGCCCTTGTCTCACTACGTGATCACGATGCCATAGTCCTCACTTTACACTGTCAATACGAATGAACAACTAAATCAACATGTCCGTGTTTTGAGTCATATTGCAAAACTTTTATAGTACCCTTTTTAACTGAAATTTCAAACGTACAACTTGACACGTGCTTAACACCGACTAGACAGGATATATGTGTATCTCCAGAATGTGTGCATGTTGTATGCACACGTGTTCCCTCGCCAAAGTCCGTGTGGCGTTCCCCCCCCCCCTTTCCCATGTATCCCCTATTGCCCCACGGTACCCAATGGGTGCTTAGGCCTTAGGCCTTCGTGGTAGTTGGAGTATAAAAAAAACAAAAAAAAAACGGCCAGTGTTGCCACAGCTTTTTATCCAGTTTTACTTCCAATTACTTGCAAAGTTCAACGTGTTTTTACTCGTTGAGTAATGACAAGTATTGAAATCTCCTGCAAGTCCAATTCTATCGCTGAATTAATTTTTTGTGAACCTGTGCTATGTCACTTACTGAGCAGATCGGTATATTCGTCTTTATCTAAAGTATAAGCAAAGATACATGTATATCTGCCGACCAAGGTTCGTCATTCTTTGCATATGCAAGTAATTACTTGCAAAACGGCAACACTGATAACGGCAGCGATCCACGATTGTCGTTCACTGCCCATTGTCGCTCGATACAGTATTGACAGTCTGCGAGTTATTATCAAATTTCGACATTATGACGTGCTTGTGATAGCTGAGATGGGCAAAAAGTAAAAACAGCTCAAAATGTTGTTGACGTTTCAGAGAGGATTCTGATCATTTTCAGAATTTTTTTGGAGAAGTTGAAAATGGAAGGGGATGGGGAAGGTATATCTCAATTTTAAGGCATATTGAAATATATTTCCAAGACACGTGTCTCTGCTCCCTGGGTATACCTGTGTCGCGGTTTTACCAATGAGGGTTTGTGTTTCGTAGCCGGTAGTCATAACAGCGGTGCCAGATGGTCGGTACTGTCGGTAGCCGAGTAAAAAAAAATTAATGGACTGATTGTATACCTATTTGACAAATTTCATCCCTTTATTTTTCATGTTATACATGTTCGTTCCTCAGAGGACCAGTTACGTGCCGAACATAATCATTCATGAACTGATGACCGCGTTGCGTGGAAAGTGCAGGGTCAGCATACTTTTTTTGAGTTCGCCACTTAGTTTCTTAGGAGTTGCTATAATGGCAGAACGATTGATATATACGTATAATACATTTATTCGCTGTTTTAAGGAAGAAATGAGCAAAACATACGAAACATTTATAAAAACTCTTCTTAAATGTAACACAAAAATATATCTCTAAAACACGTAGTAATTTATATCGGGCACAAAACAGGAATATCCATACCGGTGGGAAAGGAAAAGTCAAAACTACATGATCGTTCACTGTCAATTCTCGCTCGTTACAGCGTTGTCAGTTGGAAAGTGATCAAATGAAAAAATGAAAACAGCTCAAAATTTTGCTATTTTCGTGCCGAAAATAACGGCCTTGCGTGGAAGTGCCGGGTCAGCATACTTTTTTTTCAATTTGACACTTAGTTTCTTAGGGGTTACTATAATGACGTCTGATATTTAGGTATATATACTTCGAAATTGAGTCATTTATTTTAACAGTGAGTAGATAGCTTTTATTTAGGGTTAAGTAGAGTAGCTTAGGCTAGACTTCGCCCTGTTGCAGATTTCTGCATTGTATATAACAATACTCAATAAAGACATAATAATAATAATAATAATCTGATCAAAAGAAATGTTTTTTCCTTTACCATTTTTCTGGTAAAATTAAAGTTACAAAGTGATAGCCCTTTGGAAGTTTGAGTACCGCCCTGTCTCAATAATAATATTATGTGCTCGTGTTTGGCGACAACGGATATAATCCGCCGTATCGGTTCATCGCATCGGAAACAAAAAAGCGAAAGAATTTGGAACGATGTTTTTACAATTATTTTATTCATTTGTATACAGTCAGTGTCAGTGAATAGTGGTGTCTGTTGCGTGGCTCAAACGAAATAAAAAATGGCACATGTTTATGCGGATCGGTTTCCCAATCGAGTGCAACCAACCCCTCGTGCCTTTGTTAATGTAGTACAACGGGCTCGTGAATCAGGTGACGGCATGCCGGTGCTCCAAGACCTCACGATCAAATACAGGTCCGCACTGAAATACTTGTCGGGAGGATACTTTATAAAACAAGGTAAAATTTTTCTTTTAATTTTTATTTTATTTTTACACACATATTTTTGGTTTATCTTCCTTCTACAATCATTATCTGAAAATTAATGACTCAACTTCAAAGTCACCCTGTATATATCTATATATATATATATGTAAAAAATTAAAGCTTCCGCCTTTTGTTGGGTACTTCGACAAAATTTAAGCAAGGAGAACTCTTAATACTTTTTTAATCTCTCTAGCTTTCAATGGTCTTTGCCATCATCATCAGGAGCTGAATAACATTGAGGAAAGTAGCAACAATTATGCAAAATGAATTTAAATTAACTTACAGTAGTATGTGAGGATGTTGCTAAATGTTATTTACGTTAAGGATGAGGGAAATACCCAGTAACATGGATACATGGATACATGGTACAATAGTCAAAATTATACAAACTACACACACCTGTACGACAAGAACGAATTAAAAACAGATTAAAAATATTTAAAACGAAAGTTAAGCATTACATCGTGAAACCACTTGATGATTGCACAAATTAGTGGGCATACAATCGTGAGTAAGATGAACCTTTTGACAGATAGCAGAAGGTTAGAAGTGTCCGTGTAGATGGAGACATACTACTGTAAGTTAATTTAAATTCATTTTGCACAATTGTTGCTACTTTTCTCAATGCAGCTCTTGATGATGATGGCAAAGACCATTGAAAGCTAGAGAGATTAAAAAAGTATAAAGAGTCCTCCTTGCTTAAATTTTGCCGAAGTACCCAACAAAAAGCGGATGCTTTCATTTTTCACGTAACTGGTCCAGACGACAATGACCACGTCTCAAGTTTTATATATATATACGCCTTCTAGATCGACGCGAAGTGACCTCCAATATTCTAGATGCCGCTTTGTGGTTCACCAGACCTTTCTCGAAGCAGCTATGGGACTATATGTAACTCGGCGACCGGGAGATGGAAACAGGGTACTGAATACGGTAGAGTAGCAGAGCGGAGTGGAGTATACTGCAGTCAATGGCAACATAAGAATTAGTCAGACATAAATAGTGGTGTACATAAATGTTCTTCAAGTTAAATAAATTAGTGCATTTCTTTTTGTGGAATCCAGTGTTTTAATCCACACCCAAAAGAACCCAGAAAAACGATGGTCTATGTCAAGTCCAAAGGATCTACAAAGAGAAAATTATCATGCGCAGAAAGGTATATAACAAAAAATAGGGAAATAATGGTCGAAATCTGCTAAAAAAGGAAAGTGGATTCGAGTAGAAAATAGGATAGATAACCCGAGCGATACGTATCCGGATGCATGGGCATGGGAATCTACTTTTGTAGTTGCATGTGCTTTCATTTCGGGACTGATGAAGCCAACCAGCAGAAATACGTATCGCTCGGGTTACCTATCCTATTTTCTGCTCGAATAAACTTTCCTTCTTTTTGCGGATTTCGCCCATTATTTTCCTATTTTTTGTTATATACCTTTCTCCGCATGATAATTTTCTCTCTCTCTATATATATATATATATGAGAAGTAGTTATTGCCAAAGCCAACGACTAGTTGGGTACTTGTAGTAAGTTTGACAGGTTACTAAGTGACACAATGAAAATTTTGCTTAACACTCATCCAAACTGGGTAAAGAACCTCAGTAATGTCAGAATTCCAGATGATATTACAAGTTTTCTTTCGTTGGGTCCAAAATTTAGTGTTGAACCATTTGTCAACAGTGACATTGCAATCAGACATATTCTGGCTGATGTTGATTCTATTTCTTCTTCCATTAGTGATGACACAGAAAGGAACATTGCGATAATTCGTTCCACCAATATTATCACAAATTACTTTCACAACAGTACCACCAACAAAAAACACTCTTTCTACCATGACCTGCTAAATAAAACAAGGAAATTTATTAAGGATCATCCCGAGTTAATTGTTACAAAATCAGACAAAGGCAATGTTACCGTAATCATGTTAAGACAACAATATTTTGACCTATGTAATAATTTGATTGATAATGATCCCTCTTACAATGTTATCAATAAAGACCCTACATCTAAAGTAGAGAAAGGTTGCAATGACATTGTTAACAGCACTGGTCAAATCAACCAAGACCAAAAGAAGTCCTTAATCACTTATAATTCTGTCTCTCCAAAATTTTATGCTCTTCCCAAAATACACAAACCGGTACTGTCAGTAAGACCGATTGTAGCTTCTGTTGAATCAGCCACACTAGCTTTATCTTCATTAATTGCAGACACTCTAAAGTCAGCTCACATCAAAGGAGAATACTTTATAAAAGACTCTTTTGATGTTTGTCAACAATTTAATAGATTTCAAATACCCCCTGATCATGTTATTGCGAGTTTAGATGTAGTTTCACTGTTCAGCAATGTGTATTTAGAAGCTTGCATCAGATCCATCAACAAACATTGGGATCTAATTTGCCAACACAGCAACCTAACTCTGGATTCTTTCATCAATATCGTAGAGTACCTTTTCCAGAACAATTACTTTACCTTTAATAACAAAGTGTTTCCACAAACACATGGTTGCCCCATGGGCTCTGTTTTATCTCCAATTTTGGCAGAATATGTAATGGATGACCTGCTTGATGTTGTTATTCAAGTATTGCCATACAATCTAATTTTCATTAAAAAGCAAGTGGACGATATAATCGTTTATCTTCCTTATGATAGGGTGGATGATATTGTTGAGGTTTTTAACAGTTATGATCCTTACATCCAGTTCACCATCGAAAAAGAAGATGACAATCAATCTGTTCCCTTTCTGGATTCAAGATTGATTCGTACCAATGACAATTTATTACTGGTAGACTGGTACAGGAAACCAATTTCTTCCGGAAGGTTCCTGAACTTCAGGTCTTACCATGAACTTAAAATAAAAATAAACCTGGTGAAACAAATGAAGAACAGGGTTATAAAAATCTCTGACAGTACTTTCCATCTTTCCAATTTAAGGAAGCTTTCAGTCTTATTTATCAAAAATGGCTATCCTAAGTATTTGGTTAACAGAATCTTGTTCAGCTCTCCTCCGAATATTTTGCCAATCACTAATAACAATAATGAAAATGACAACACGGGTCAATCAAACCAGATATCCATTATTTCTTCAACTAATGAGAACAACAGCACTACAGTGGTTGCTCCTACTTCCAGAGTTAACTATGTTGTCTTGCCACACATCAAAGAACTAACACCAAAATTGATCAGGCTGTATAATCCCTTTAATTGTCGTTTTGCTTGTAAATCAGTTCTCACAGTCAACAGTTTGTTGTCCAAAATGAAAGATAAGGTTCAGTTGCTTGATTCAACCAATACTGTCTATCGTATTAATTGCAACAATTTAGTTTATATAGGTCAAACTTCTAGGTCGCTGAAAGGCAGGATAACGCCACACAAAAGTGATGCCAGATTACATCCAGAAAGATGTGCTTTGGCGTCGCACATCAACAACACAGGTCACTCTATGAATTATGGCAGTATTGAAGTTCTTGCTAAAGAAAAAAGACTCTCAAAACGTCTATTTTTAGAAATGTCCCACATTTTCATGACAGATCATTGCATGAATAAAAAGGCTGATGTTAAGCAGCTCAGTGTCATTTATTCCTACCTGTTGAATTGCGAAAAGCTAGAACGGCTATATGTCCAAATTGATCCAACATCTTCACAAAATTAGAATACTCTCACTCACATAACCCATCTTTTCAAGGTTGTATCAATATCAGACATTCTTGCACTCAGATGAACCACACACTCTTTTCCAAAACAAGTTATTCCAGCATTTTAGTAATTTTGGGTGGAGATTTACCGAGCGTCCCTCGTATACTTCATATCCAAAGTTGGACAGGGAGGTGTACATTTCCACGTTCCGTTGCGTCAATCACTTGTCTTCTGTCGACGCTTTACCGTTCCGTGCCTTTCCCCCTCTCCACGTGTAGCGGTAGTAGAAGGTTAGGGACTGCATTCCGATTGTTTCAACAAAATGTCTCCCCACGTGCAATATTTTTAGCTTGTTCGGGTTTATTGATATAATTTTTATTTTTCTTAACTTTTAACGAAGGTATCTGTCGTTTTTTAACAAGCCCAATGTCCCCGTCCTTTTGTTTTTATACTGAACACAAGTTCGATCTTCTCTACGTTCTTTCTAAAACACCTTGTGGCTGCAACCTCACCGACGAGTAAGTTGTCGGACATTTTAAATCTGTCTTCTTTGCTAGCATCACAATTGTGTTTTCAGAATCCTGATGATGGCTCCATAGAGAATGCCGAAAGCTTGATTTTATCGTCAAAAGTGTCAACTTTAGCCTAAAAGTTTTGCCAATTTCCCAACTAACAAGTAATTGTATTATATATATATATATATATATATATATATATATATATATATATACTAAGTGACATATAAATCCGAACACACGGTTTAAATAGTTTTATTTTAATAAAAGTTGGTGAATGTATTTATCTTACTGTAAATAACAAGTGAAAAAATTTTCAGCCTTATCAGTTGGACATTCCGGTTTTTATACTGATTTTTTTTAATTCACTAACGCTCTAAAAATGAATATTTCAGCCGCAGTAAAGAATCAACGTTGGCGGATTTTGGTTCTTGACATCCTTTACGATCGGTTACGATGCCTAGAGTACGGAGACCTGTACGATTTCGTCAACTTAGTGAGTTTGATAGGGGCCGTATAGTGGGACTTCGGGAAGCTGGACTTTTTTTTCGGGCAATTGCAGTTAGAGTGCAAAGAAGTGTAGACACTGCGGTTAGGTGTTTTCAGGCATGGCTTCGAGAAGGCCGTACGCAAAGAGCAAGGGGCACTGGACGCCGCCGTAGAACAACAGACCGTGAAGATCGCCGCCTAAGATTATTGGCCTTAAGGGACCGTTTCTCCACTACCAGAACCATTGCAAATGAATGGTTTGCAGAACACGGAAGACCTATTGGCATGCGAAGTGTTTACCGACAAATGAGAAGTTTTGACTTGTTTTCATACCGGCCACACTGGGTCCTCCCTTTAACTCGAGAACACCGACGTAATCGCCTTGAGTGGTGCCGACAACGGTCACTCTGGGATCAGGAATGGAACAGTATTGTCTTTAGTGACGAGTCTCGATTTTGTTTAGGCATGCACGATGGTCGTGCCAGGGTTAGAAGGCGACGTGGTGACACGAGGAATCCACAGTTTTTTGTTGAAAGACATGTTCATCACACTGTTGGAGTTATGGTTTGGGGTGCTATAGCGTATGGTTCCAGGTCACCTTTAATCTTCATCAGAGGTAACATGAACGCGCAGCGTTATATCCACGAAGTTCTAGAACCCCATCTTTTACCCTATCTTGACACCCTGGCAGATCCAACTTTCCAACAAGATAATGCCCGACCACAGGTTGCAAGAGTCACAATAGACTTCTTTCAACATAATGATGTCACATTGTTACCATGGCCACCAAGATCTCCCGACTTATCCCCAATTGAGCACGTGTGGGATATGATGGGTAGGAGATTGCTCAATTTGCAACGTCCTCCTCAGACTCTAGAAGCACTTCGAGAGGAGTTGGTGGTTGCCTGGAATGAGATACCACAGGAGGACATTGACCACCTGATCAGAAGCATGCCTAGGCGCGTTGGAGAATGCGTAGTACATCAGGGTGCATCCACACATTATTAAAGGTCAAAGGGCTTTAAAGCAGTGCAATCATTTTAAAATTTTTATCATTTACTTATTATGCTTCATTAAGTACATATACAAAATTTTATTAAAATAAAACCATTTAAACTGGGTGTTCGGATTTATATGTCACTTAGTATATATATTATTTATCGGATGTTTTAAGGAAGAACTGACTTAAACGAAACAACATACGAAACATTTATTAAAACTCTTCTTAAATGTAACACAAAAATATATCTCTAAAACACGTAGTAATTTATATCGGTCACAATACATGTGCAAGGAATATCCATACTGGTGGAAAAAGCCAAAACTGGACAAGCGTGACTTAGAAGCATACAGAAAACATATATTTAATTCATGGAAAAAGCAGTAATAGTTTTTACGAACTGTCTAATTTTGAATTTTCTCCATTTGTATACGTATCAATAAAAACTATCAGCATTAAAAGTTACAACATATAACGTATGTATACCACAATAATGTACAACCAAGCAAGGCAAACTTCCACAGTAGTTTAAGCAATGTTGCCAATTCTTGGGACGTACAATGACTGTTTTACACATACAGTGTATCACAGTGTATATATGAGGAAACACTGTGCGTAACGTAGAAATTACATATCACACATTGATTATGAAAGACAGTACAACTACTAGACACCATGAATCTCAAATAACAGGAATTTTAAAACATTAGTCTTATTTTAAAATAAATACATATACTTATATATGGCGATAACGTAGCCTACACTGTTATGCTAAATATTAAGACATCAGGTACAATCGACTCACTATTTACCACATAAAAGATTTAGAAAAATATCATGTTAGACAGCCTCCTATATTTATAATTCATTTTAGCAACTAAACAAAAAAAAAACAGAAAAAGAAGGAATTATTTCACAGCTAAAATTTAGAACGAGTGGTCTTTTTAATATGTCAATCGTCAACTGTGATAAAAAATATACAACTTGGACAGCTAAATCTAAACACAACATTTGGAGTTTTGAAATCAAAGCATACAAAACTGTTTCTGATATATAAACTTCTATAGTCCTATTATATTTTTTTCGAAATCCTGAGAATACATTTCTTATATTTCCTGTGGTAAGTATGTGTCTCTTGGCATCTTTAAACTTCTCCACAAATCTTTTGTTCACTTATACGCTGGGTTATCAATACCAGCCTTACCATCGTTGACATCTACCTTTTCACCGTTCAAAATAGCCTGAACCTCGGCAACAGACTTTCCTTTGGTCTCAAACACCATGAGGTAGATGAAGAAGATGCCCATGAAACAAATACTAGAGAAAATATAGAAAGTAGAGTCTCCTCCAATGGCTATCTGAAGACTTGCATAGTTCTTGGTGACAATAAACGCTAAGAGCCAGTTGAAAGTAGCTGCCGCTGAACAAGCTACACTTTTAATCTCCGGAGGCATGAGTTCAGCTGAGATCAACCAAGGGATTGGGCCAATTCCTAAGGAAAATGCACAGATGAAGACTATGAGACAAAGTACTGGAAGAATTCCAATTTTACTTGCAGTTTCAGGACTAACAAGACCACGGTCTTTTAGTGAGAAGAAGATTCCTAGAACAAACTCTGACAACATCATGAAGGCTATGGAGCCCAGTAACAACATCTTTCTTCCAAACTTATCAATAAATACAGAAGAAAGGAACGTAGCTATAACTTGAACAACACCTACAATAATAGTAGCTATAGAAGAAGGTAGCGTTGATCCAGCAGATTCAAAAATGTTACCGGTAAAGAAAATAACAGCGTTTACACCGCTTAGCTGTTGAAACATCATCAGACCGAAACAGATCAAGCAAGCCTTCTTGCTAGCTTTCATCTTCAAGGCATCGACAAACGAAACAGAAGTTTCGTTGTTTTGTTCCAAGCTAGCTTTGATGTCTTGGATTTCCTTATCGCAGTTATAGTCAGAACCTCTGAGCCTTTGTAAGGCGCTTCTGGCTTCATCAGGTTTGTTGTTCTTCATGAAGTAGACAGGCGTTTCCGGTTGAAAGAAGAAGATGACAGCGAATGCTATGGGAATCATGGCACAGAGGATAGAAAAGGCCTTGACAGGCATGTAGGCCCCAGCAACGTATGCGATCAGAATGCCTACGGTGAGGAGAAGTTGGAAATAGCTACCTAGGGTCCCTCGGATTTCTTTTTGGGCGATTTCGCTTGTGTAGATTGGGGCTGCTACGCAGAATGATCCTCCTGCCAAACCTGAAAATTAATGACAGCTGGTTACAAATAATTTTTGCAGTTGTGGAGGGATATCTTGGTCACGTCTAAATCAAACATAGCCCATTGATTAACCTGAAGCATAAACTGGGCATTCCAAAAATGGATGTGAAAGATACAAGCGCCATCTATCAGAGAGTTACAGACCACAAAAATGCATTTGATAATCTGCTAGGAAAAGCGTCGAGTTTTTGGATGTGTTAGTGTCTCATTGATTATGCTAGGATATTTTTGGCCCATTTTAATTCAGTATCTTCAGGCAGTGAGAGTGACAAAAAAGGATTGAAGATCCTAACGTCATCTATGAGACGGTGGCAGAACTAAACTATCAAAGCAGATTTCTCAATTCATTTTTATGTTCTGCTACGGTTTCTTAGATGACGATTGTAAGATATTTTAAATAAATTCTTGCAAGCCAATTCCTTCTAGATGGTTCACAAGTCTGGTTAACGTCGCTCAACGCGACAGCCCTCAGGCCTTTTTTGTGTACACATTCGAATAGGTCTTGTGGTCGCTGCTAGATTCAAATAGTAAGTATTGTGAACCTCGCTTTAGTGCTATCGTGCTATTGTTTGTAGTGTTATAGTTGCCTTAAAGGTGAGCAATGAATGCGTATTTCCTTTGTTCTACTGTACTGCATCGATTTCTAACCATAATACTTTTTTGTTCATGATTATGAATATCGTGAGCCATGATTACATAAGATTCACTAACGTTTGTTTCTAAGCACATCAAAAATGACAATGATAATATATTTTATATTAATCTGTCTTGCAGGTGACAGTTCATTTTTTTTTTTGGTCGCTACTTTACGAAAGAACCGATCATTACAACGTTAAAATGGCACCGCTCAAATCCACACGATAGGGATCGCCTGGGGCAGTCATTCCCGCTTCCAAAAGGTCGTTCAGTCCTCCAAAGAGACAAGCGACAACCGTGAGGTTACTTGTTGTTTGCAATGTAGATATGTCACCCCCGTCCATCGTCCAAAAAACGCCAATAGTACAACATTTCTTTAGATGTCGAAATGCTATTTCTCGCATTACAGATCCATGAACAATGCACATGAAGCGTTTGTAGTAGAAGATTGCATAACAATTAACCGGTGTGTTGCGACAATACGAGCCCCTTCCCACTTCAGTTGGCCCAAGTATTGAAATCTTAGTTTTTTCTTATCAAACACAAATAATAAAAATGTAGCAGGGTGTTATAGCTTTAAAATATTAACAATGAATATTTTGATAATATATAGTAGAACACACCAACTTTATCACTCCCTAATCAAATTTGCAGCATAAAAATAACACATGTTGCAATTACAGCATATCAACCTATTTTCATTTCAATGCAAAATAAGTCTATAACGCATAGGTGGCTGTGAAAAATAAAAGCCATGACAATCGGTTTTATTAATCACAGCTGTCAGAATACGTTTAAAATAGTTTTGGGTAGTTAAGGTTTTCAAAATGAGTAGAGGAAAGGTTATTGCAACTTTGTTAGACTTATCGCGGTACAGTGTGAGAAATATTGTTAGAAGATATAACGTAACTGGTTCAGTTAATATTAAGCCACGATATGTGAAAAAAAGCAATATCACAAATGCCGACCGAAGAAAAATAATCGTGAAAAACAGGCGTGCCAATTATTTACAATTAAGTGCTCTGTGGAGTGACGCTGTTGGAAGGAGAATTTCGAGGTCCACAACTCATAGAGAGGCCCACAAACTGGGATTTAGCACTTGCAAGGTAAGTTTTCTTAAAAAAAAGTGAAGTAAAGACCCTAAAGTTGCACAACTTGTTTATAGGCCAAAGAAAAGTTACTATTAACTCCACTGCAAAAGAAAAATCGGCTTAGATGGGCTAAAGAACATAGACAATGGACACCTCAACAATGGTGTGCAATACTATGGAGTGATGAGGCCCGATTCGAAGTTTGTGTTGGCGACAGTCGCAGTAGAGTTAGTCGCAAAAAAATGAAGCATTCCATGTTGACTGTCTGAAGAGAAAAGTGAAATTTCCAGCATCCATTATGGTCTGGGGCAGTATGTCATCAAAAGGAGTAGGAAAACTTAATTTTATTGATGGAACTGTGGATACAAACAAATATTTGGCAATTTTAGAAGAATCGCTTTTACCAGTGATGGAAGAATGTTTGACATCCGGTCAAGATTTTGTGTTTCAGCAAGATCGTGCAGCGTGCCCTACCTCAAAAAAGGCTATAAAATGGATGGAAGAAAATAATGTACCACTTTTGAAATGGGTTTCTAGCAGTCCAGATCTGTCACCTATTGAAACTTTGTGGCACGAAATGAAAAAGGTTCTACGACAACATCCTGCTCGTACAATCATCGAACTGAGACAAAAGCTTCAAGAAATATGGGATTGTTTTACACCAAATTTTTGCCAAAACTTGGTTAACACTATGCCCCAAAGAATTTCAGATGTAATAAAAAATAAATGGTAATCTTTCAATTGTTGCTTTGTTAACTTCGCACATTTAATCGCACATTGTTTATTTGTTCAGATGTTCTATTAGTTATAGGTCTAAGGCCCGTATCGTCAGTCGTCCCTACAATTGTAGGGCGCCTTTATGGCCTCCTTGATTGTCATAGTTTTCTACTTCTCCGTCTCAGCGCTCTATTTTGAGGTTATGTCACAAACATCTATTTGCATCAAATTGTGCTTGCTTTTGAGTTATATCATGTTTTATCAGCCTGAAATTTCCTACAATTTAAAAGGAAAACATATCTTATCAATAGGAGAGCGCTGACGCTGACACGGGACGAGTGTAATCTAGAAATTTTTGAAGGAGAGAAAAGAGTATGACAATCAAGGAGGCCGTAAACGCGCCCTACAATTCTAGGGACGACTGACGATACTGGCCTAAGTGATTTCAAATATGTATTTTTTACGACTACGTAAAGTGTATCTAAAATGTTTTAGAGACAATAAATTTTTTTAGAAGTAAATAGTTTCGTCATGTTTGGTACAAATCTGGAAGTGGGCCAACTGAAGTGGAAAGGGGCTCGTAGTTCTGGGTGGATTTCAGCGTTTTCAGCGGACTTGGCGTTTTCGGAAAGACGGACGTAGACACAATAGACCAAAGAGTCGCAGTGGAGGATCGTTATTGATGCACTCACAAGAAGACGGACTAGGGTCATGTGTCTGGTACATTTTTTAATGTGACAGATAACCTCATGCTCGCTTGTCGTTTTGAGAGGCTGGGTGCCGTTTGGTGGTTATGGGCTTCGCACAATATCAGCATGTTACAGGACCATTCAGATTATTGTAGTATATAGGAATGCGAAAAAGGTAAGTAACGAAATGTAACCTGGAAGACAGAAAACAAAATATATTGTCACAGATGTACTTAAAAAAACCACAGTTGTGGTCCAGGGGCAGATTTAGAAATATTTTTGGGGAAGGTCCATCTGATTAAGTCGAAATTCTTTTAAGGAAATTGGGGAGGGAGATGATGGTTCAGGATTTATGAACCCGCGCCTCGAGAGGCAACGGTGATAGAAAATTAAAGGTAGGGGGGAGGGGGTCGTCTGCAAATTGAAGAACACTTTTTCAACTCGGAGGGTCCAAAACACACCCCTGGATCCGCCACTGGGTAATCGTACAATAAAAATAAAATCTAAACATATGTATATGTGGCTTTGATTCGAACAGACAACGATGCAGTCCTATGGAGAATTCACGTAACGAATGCGAGGTAGTCCTCGTTTTGCTGTGTTTATGAGCAAATTGCGTTTTGCCAATTTCAGAAAATATAAGCAATACCAATATAAACATTGATGGTTTATTCCAGTCAAAACATAAACGCCAACGTTGTGTGATAACAAATCTAACGTTACGGTAAATACAGTCGCCTGTGTAAAAATAAACGAACTGAAGTGCAAGCATTGCAATGTCGCGAACATTTGGCTACGTTCTAATTGTAATAAATGTTAAGTGTCGAATTTTTAATTATGGCATCGATATTGTAGTGAAATGAACTACAAGAAACTACACTGTCCTAATTGTGTCATAAAGTCATATAACACATTTCGTAGCTGCATAATATGAAAGTTATAAAAATATATCTAATAGGTACTAATCGACTAAATAACTTGACTAAAATTTATACAGATACTTTCGACTTAAAATCGACACTCATTTCAGTTTATCCGTTTGGAAGTTTTTGCGTTGGGTCTTATTCAAAGCATACAAAAAATGGGACTAACATTAAAACGGCCTGATCATGTTTCATTGAAAGTCCGATTAAGTAATCTAAAAATTTAACCCTTTCACATTATATCACATTCATGCTCATTTGCTTACTTTGCCTTGGTGACCCTAAAGTTCGCCCCTCAATACCAAAATCGAGCCTACCATAATTCCATAATTTATAGAAAAGTCTCCCATGTTTTCAATAAATGTCCATCCTAACTCCTGTTCCTGTAAATCTGTTTCTGGGCAGTAAGAGGTGATATTATACCTACGTCTTTGGGGATTCTCTCGTTCAGTGATCCTCAAAATTATGTTCGTCATTATACAATTGTACGTTTACGTTTTTAGCTGAGGTTTAGGAGTTCCAAAATAATTAGGAAATAGCGAATCTATTTGAAATAAAATATTTGTCTTCTGTTAAAGTGAAATATAGTAAGGATAAAAATATAAAGTACCATTTCACGAGCGAACAAAATGAGGTTTTAAAATTCGTTCATATTGGGTCTACATCTAGTAGGTGTAAAACAGAAAACTCTATTTTTCGCTTGTGATGTTTTTTGCTAAGTTAAGAATAACCGTCATTGAAATTGAGATGTTTTCGGGGTATTTTTAGGCTTACACCAGTCCACGGATTGTATATGTCAGGATATCAAGAAACAGTATTTTAAATTTATATGAGTAGTATTTGCGAACAATAACATTTCTCATTAAAAATATAATATTGAAAACGTTAAATGGCAAGATGAAACAAAACATCTCGAATTGAAAATTTGACTATGTCCATCTTGTAGAGGAGAAAAAGTGATAATAACAACATTCAATTTATTTTGAATTCTCGTCTCAAATAAAGTCAAGAAAAAATAAAAATGATTTGGCGATAAAGCTGGTATACCTAGGAAACTCTGTTCTTGAAATAACTAAGGTTTGAAAATATCAATATATTTTTGGAATCAGAATTGAAAACTCTATTTACCTGTGCAAAAATACAATATGGCGTCCTTAAGAAAAAATAAAGTAGATGCTGGAGAACAAGGGGCGAAACATCACCTTGGGAAAAACCATTATTATACATTATGATGAGGAAGAGAGATGGAAATATACAAAAGTATGTAGGTGCGTGAAAGACACTCGATTGTAGGATCTTATCTGGCAGCGTCGGAGTGTGATGGACAACGGGGTAAAGTAGAAGAGTGATAAAAGAGAGAGATGGCAGAACGGGCGCTGGCGCCTACCGCTTAGACGGATGCGATTTGTTTCTCGCATTCGCAGAGTTGCCGATACCAATATGTCATATTTCTAAGAAATTTAAGTCTACCCAAATTTCGAGAAAAATAGCTGCGGATTCCACATAAGAGTATTCCAAAAATAAAAAAGTTCAAACTATTAAAATTGTATTAATGTTTCATGGTTCAAATCATATTCTTCATGTTTGTATATTGTTGTATAAATGATTTTGTAATCCCTATTCTTGTTGCCAGTAGAGATACAACAGTATTGAGAGAAATCATGGACCGCTAGATAGGGCTACAACTACCATATGACTATCAAATAGTAGTGATAAACTGGGTTTGTTTATAGCACAGTTGCCTGGTGTGGCGAATTTGCGCCATAGGGGCGATTTGACAACTTTGAAGGACAACTATAACGGTTACTATGGTGCCCGGTATTCGGGAATCTGGCAATACCTGATGATTCCTAACGTTTATTACGCCAGATTGTTTGCTGACTTGCGCAGTACAACATGACAATCAACGTGACTGAGCACCTGGTAACCCTGGTTTAAGGTGTTATATTTAAAGAGCTTGGGGCAGTTAGGTATCTAGGTCACATTTTTTAATGTATTTCGAGAAATCCGTAATGTTGAGTAAATACTAGATCACGTTTCTTGCTTAGGTTGCTGAAAATTCTACAATAGACGTACATTTTGAGAAACAGAGATTTGGTGACGACAAAATCGTAAAAATATAACGCATTTTCGTAAAATAATTTCTTTGTTGAAAAGACTGTGGCTTGATGACTCATTGAACGAGTATAGTGTCCCGCTCCGCTTTGAATATTCGAAACACTATACTCCAGCAGCATTCAGCTTCAATGTTATCTTTATGAAGTTCTAACGTCTAGGCCATGCTGATTAAAAGCTTGAATGAATCAACACTTAACTCTAAATTCCCCACAATTCGGGAAGCTCTACTCAAATTGGCAACACAGCGTATCTGCCTATTATTCTCATTCGTGATACAGGTCTGCGGTTAACGGTAGGAAATATGTACGAATAGCGATGAAAGTAGACGAGCCGATGCGCTGTTGCCAATAAATGATTTCCCATGTATAACAATCGTTTTTCCTAAGTTGTATATGCCACCTTGTAGAGAAGAAAAAGTGGCAATTTTCCACGGAACGACTCGTTTAGTTCCGACCCATCTCTACACAACAGACAACATTGTCGATTAAAAAAAAATATATTCAAATAGATTTATCCACCGGGGAGCTATAATAATCCCTCGTTTTTGTATCAGGGATCAAAGACATCGAAAAATCACGAATGTATTTTACCTGTAAGAAATCTCCCAGCGTAGATCATCCCGGTGCCATTAGCACAGATGATCAGCCCCCAGCCAAGGGTGAACGGCACCACTGTGCTGATACATCCCCATTTTCTACCAATAAAATCACATATACTCCCGATGGGAAAACACATCAGCATGGCACCGATGGTCGCTAAAGATCCGATCCATCCTAGCTCTTCGGTGTCAATTAAGATACCGTTCAGTTCTTTGGCTTTGAGTTTTTCTGAGATATTGCTCGTCCAGCCTAGCACTGTGCCGGCTGCTACAGCGCCCATGCATACTGGAAAAGAAGAAGGAAGTTAGGCATTGGTCGAAATAAGAGAGCACATCTATCACCAAAATCGATCACTGCGAGGAGCCAGTCAAGGATTTGTTTGTCGCTTAAATCTCATAGTTTGTACTGAGGATCAAACTTGAAATAAGTTCTGTCATTAAATGCGTGTTTTAGTGATATTTCTTAAAAGTGCGAGTGTTTGAAGGTAACTGTATTGCTAGACGATTTCAGGACATGATGCTTCTTGTATAAATTGCAAAGAGCAGCATAAGCCGAATGAAGATAGAACTTTTCATCGGTAAGTATTATTATTACGGCTGATATTCGAATACTATCAGAATACATTTGTGTCCAGATAAAAAATATGCTAAAAAAATTCATTTTCACCCCCAAGGAAATGATTCCCCAAAATCATTTGTACCTCAAAAAAATACTCTAATTATAGAGACAATTTATAGGCTGGGTGGCAACTGATTTTGGGGAATCATTTCCTTGGGAGTGAAAATGAATTTTTTTAGCATATTTTTTATCTGCCAGCCTTTCAGAAGCTTTCTCACACCATGCCACCCAGCCTATAAATTGTCTCTATAATAGAGTATTTTTTTGAGGTACAACTGATTTTGGGGAATCATTTCCTTGGGGGTGAAAATGAAGTTTTTAGCATATTTTTGTATCTGCCAGCTTTTCAGAAGCTTTCTCACACCATGCCACCTAGCCCATGAATTGTCTCTGTAATAGAGTATTTTTTTGAGATATAAATCATTTTGGGGAATCATTTTTTGGGGGGTGAAAATGAAGTTTTATTTATATTTTTTCATCTAGCACCCCTTTAGAGATTTTCTCAGTATATGCTATTTAGCTCATTAATTACATTCAATACAGTAATCGGTAAGTGAAAATTCGAAGAAAGGTTTTGGGTAAACTCTTGTTCCTGCGAATTATTTAATTAGGGTGGAAAATGTTTCTTCCTATAGGGGTGCTTATTCTCGTGCATATACAGGGTGACTTCGAAGTTGAGTCATTTATTTTAACAGTGAGTAGATCTGATCAAAAGAAATGTTTTTTCCTTTAACATTTTTGTGGTAAAATTAAAGTAACGAAGTTGTAGCCCTTTAGAAGTTTGAGTACCGCCCTGTCTCAATAATAATATGTGCTCGTGTTTGGCAACAACGGATATAATCCGCCTTATCGGTTCATCGCATCGGAAACAAAAAAGCGAAAGAATTTGAAACGCTGATCACGATGTTTTTATTCAGTCAATGTGTCAGTCGGTAACGCGTGAGTGAATAGTGGTGTTTGCCGCGTGGCTCAAACGAAATAAAAAATGGCACATGTTTATGCGGATCGGTTTCCCAATCGAGTGCAACCAACCCCTCGTGCCTTTGTTAATGTAGTACAACGGGCTCGTGAATCAGGTGACTTAAGAGCTCACAGGGGAGGGCATGCCGGTGCTCCAAGACCTCACGATCAAATACAGGTCCGCACTGAAATACTTGTCGGGAGGATACTTTATAAAACAAGGTAAAATTTTTTTTTTATTTTTTTTTATTTTTACACACATATTTTGGTTTATCTTCCTTCTACAATCATTATCTGAAAATTAATGACTCAACTTCAAAGTCACAATGTATATTTATTGTTGCGAGCTGTTAGCTGTATCCTTCACAATCACAGTCTGGTCGAGGAATTCGACGCCACTGGTCATTCGGGTATCTTCGGCAAATTGTCCCCTAAATTTTGTCTGCCAACTTCACACCGGTAGGGATACTGGCAGTCTTACTTTGACCCGCCAAGAACGGTGACTACAATTATTAATTTGTCTAACCTCACTATGACACAGTATTTTAAGTTTTATTTAATGTAGTCATGGATCTTTATTTTTTTTATATTGTGTTATAACTTAGGCCCGTATCGTCAGTCGTCCCTACATTTGTAGGGCGCCTTTATGGCCTCCTTGATTGTCATAGTTTTCTACTTCTCCATGTCAGCGCTCTATTTTGAGGTTATGTCACAAATATCTATTTGCATCAAATTTTGCTTGCTTTTGAGTTATATCATGTTTTATCAGCCTGAAATTTCCTACAATTTAAAAAGAAAACATATCTTCACACTAGGAGAGCGCTGACGCTGACACGAGACAAGTGTAATCTAGAAATTTTTGAAGGAGAGAAAGGAGTATGACAATCAAGGAGGCCATAAGGGGGCCCTACAATTGTAGGGACGACTGACGATATGGGCCTTAAGTATATGAATAAAAATCAAGTTTAACGTGCGCATATATTTTTTTTAGTTGGAATCATCAAAAAGTATTCATATTTAAATGAATCCATGTATTCACAACAGCGGGCAGCAGCGGTGGCCGCAGTAGTAGACTCTTCGGTCTCCTGATCAGTCGCCGTGCGCTGTGCGGGTTCGAGTCCCGTCCCAGGAGAAATTTTTCTCTTGGCTATGGATGTTGTGATTGTCCGTAGGTGGTAGATGGTCTCTGACTGTCGAACGCGGAGGTACCACCCGGCGGTGCTCGTAGACGGAGCCAGAATGTGTGCATGTTGCATGCACACGTGTTCCCTCGCCAGAGTCCGTGTGGCGTCCCCCCTTTTCTCATGTATCCCCCTATATCCCCACGGTACCCAATGGGTGCTTAGGCCTTCGTGGTAGTTGGAGTATAAAAAAAGCGGTATTTGAATACGTCTTTCCTTTGTATTCGAATCTTGAGTATTCGAATACAATTTACGATTCAGTATTCGGGATTTGATTCGCGAACGGGATTTCAGTATTCAACCCAAGTCTGGATACGACGTTGTCACTTTGGTAGTCCATAGCAGACAAGTAAGTCAGAAGTATGCACTAAAACTAGGCGATTTTGGAGACAAACATTGTACGAGGGATGTCTTTCAAGTTTTGCATATGGAAATAAAACAACACGGTAGGTAGTTTTAAATGACTTTATTGTTTTCCGAAGTATTCTCCATGAAGATTAATACACATCTGCATGCGCTCGAACCAATTTTCGAAGCACTTATTCCACTCGTTTGCTGGCAGATCCAAAACGGCATTTTTGAATGCGTCAACTGCTTCTTCTGGTGACTGGAACCTTTGACGCAGTCTGTTTTTAATTTTCGGGAAAGTAAAGAAATCGTTAGGACTTAGATCGGGACTATATGGAGGATGGTCCAATAATTCCACGTTTTCTTCCGTTAAATACTGCCTTGTTTTTTGGGCTGTGTGCGAGCTTGCATTGTCTTGGTGGAGGATGATTCTTCTTTCGGGGTTGATTTTTCGAAGCTCGGTGATGACTTTTGACAAACAAATGGTGGTATACCAATCCGCAGTAACAGTTCTTTGCTGATTAACAGGAATTGTTGCAATATGACCCGCTTTTGATACAAATGTCGCGACCATCTTTTTCGAGAACGGATGACTTTTGCTGGCTTTTCTTCACCTTGGAACACCAAACAGCCGACTGTCGTTTATTTTCTGGTTCATAACAGTAGTAAATCCACGATTCGTCACCACTAACAATGCTGTACACATTTTTTGAGTTTCCGGAATTGAAACGGTCAAGCGTTTTTTGACACCAATTAACCATGGCTGCTTTCTGCTCTAAAGTCAACAGGTGGGGTATCCGACGAGAAACTAATTTAATCAATGTAGTTAATGTCAGGTTTTTGACTGAATTCGCCATAAAACTATTCATTTTCTTTGGAATTGCTATCCGAATTGTCAGTTATTTTTATATCAGCTTTTTTGGTCTGAGGTTCTTTTCAAGATTCTTGCGTTTGAGTCTTTGTTCCATCTTAGCGATAAGCGAGGTTGGACTAAGCTTAGAACGCAAATGTATTTAGACCACATAGACAGGCCGCTGGGTATTGTGGCTCACTACAGCTGCAGCACATCTTCCATGGTATGACCTTTTCTTGCAATAATTTATTCGCTTACCCCAATGTATTTTGCGATTATAGAGTTAACAGGGGGAGAAAAATACTAAATGATTACTTGCTGAGTACCAAAATAAGAAACGATTTACATTCTAGATCGCTAATCGAAATCCGACTCTGTTATTATAAAAATTTACCTTGGTATGCACCCGCAGTCATCCTTTCCTCTTTTAAAGTAGCAAGTAGCGCCGACGACCGTCTAGGGCCAGCCCACCCTCGTTTCCTTTTCACCCCCCCCGTTACCTCAGCAGATGGTGCTGGTGATTGTAGGAGCCCAGTTAAGCAACTTATGTTATTACCACGTTCTTTATTTCAAGTTCGCCCCTCTCTGATTGAGTCTCTGACTTTACAATGCTGAACCAAACAGCAACAACGACACAGTTGTTTACTAATCAACTACAATGTTGCTACAATTTGATTCAATTTCAGTTACGATTATATTCCATTGACGTTTGTTACACGGAGAGTAATAAAATGCAGTTTGTAGCAACTATAAAAATAGTCATAACGTTATTATTAATGCATACTAAAAATATCGCTTATATGGTTTCCATATTTTCGTTGTATCCCCATTCCGATGCAAATCTAAAAGCACAAGATATTACTTAATTAAAATAGCAACAAATAAGAACATTAAACTGCCATGATCCTCTAAAAATAAACCAACGCCTCTGATTCGAAGCAGTAGTTAGGCATTTGATTTGACCCAACCCTCTATAAAAAGTTTCATAACAAAATAAACGTCGTCTTTAAAGATGACACTGCTGAATTAGGGCAAGACTCGCGCTTTTTATCCTCCTGTTTATAAAGAAAGTTACCGGGGGAGTGGGTTCTACTCGTATAGCCTGTTTTGGTCTGTATATGGATACTAATCGAAATTCTACTACCTTGTACATTTCTTTTACCTTGTACGTGAAAAGTACCATATTGATTAAATAAGTGGACAAAAACGTAAGATTAATGCATGAATTGTGGTGATTTCGCAAATCATGCAAGAAATACGGAAGCTTTATCGATTTACACGATATCACATCTCGCAAATATAATGAACAAGCTACATTATTTTGAATAAATGGCTAAATTATAATTGTTAATAAATGAACATACTCCCGCGCGTTTAACTACGAGTATTATAATATACAGTACTTTTCAGAAATACCCGTCCCTACATATTTTTTGAATAAAGGAATCAAGTTAGCAAGCTGAATTTGGAGGTAGTCAAGTTGGCGCGTGAGTACTATATTTTAACATAAAAATCGAATGATGGATCATGTCGTCGCAGACAGGCGTATCTGACAAAAAATCAAATTCAAGTTAATGGATTCAAATCAACAAGGTATACCATATCTTCAATCCCGCAAAGTGGCGTAACTCTAAGGTTCGCTCATAGAGATATCAGAAATCATGATCATATTCTCTAAAGTAGGAAAGATATACGGAATCAAATAACTGTCGATATTAATTTTGCTTCTAGGTACTGAAAATTTGTATATACAATTACTATCTTTCAGAATGACAGACTGTCAGGCTGTCAAGGTTGAGCTTTTTGTATACTGAATCGCTTATAACTCAACATCTAATCATAAAAATGTTGTAGTACATGTCATATTAATCTTCTTCTTTCTAAATGTGCAGTAAAATATAAGACATTCAGTTTAAAAAAATGATTGATTTTTACAATTTACTTACATATTCGGATATACTCTTCCAAACAAAAAAAAAAAGATTGATAAAACATATTCAAACGTTTTGATTAGGGTTGCAACAGATATCCGATTATTATCCGGCATTCGGAACATCCGGCTACAATTTATTGATAGGCCAGAAAACCGAATACTAGATTTGGTATACGGCAAACCTGGCAGTAATAAAAGGCGCAAAAAGATACGAACTTTATTTGTATTGCTAGAATATCAGCCTTCAGTCAGTTATATTGAACGCCAATGACTCTTAGCTAATACAACATCAAAGATAAAGTAGGATGACAATTCATTTTTTACTCTATTAAAAAACACACTAAACGGAAACTGATAACGGTTTGGGATCAAAGTAAATCATAGAGTAAAAATAAGCACCTTCCTATTTCAAGTGGTTCAATTCTGTTGTTTAAAATTGGAAGAGAACGTGGATGTTTCAAAAATCAGAAACAAAACTTCTAGTATCATATTTCAAGTAAAACAAACTTTTAAAAGAAAATCCGCCGTTATCATTGAATACATAAACAGCAAATTGCAGCTTATGAATGCGAGTTTTTTTCAGATGAATATCAAGTTCTCTAGTATTTTTTGGGAGGAATTGTTATGGCCCAAGACTTCGGCTATGTCATTGAAACAGTTCCAAAAAGCTTTTTTGATCGGTGGAGGGGTACGAGGTACCTTCTTCACTGCTGGAAGCAAGAAATTGCACTTACGAGCCTTTTGCTGCGTTATAATCGATTCAATATTCAAAAGCACTCAACTTGGATAGCCACCCAGTCCCTCATTTTGAAAAATAGTAATTTTATATTTTGGGGTTAAAAAGTACTGATGAGGAGCTTCAAAATGAGGTATCACACAACCTCCCATTCTATTAAAAAAATCCCCAAAATAGCACTCAGCCGCCATCTTGAAATTTTCAACTGCCTCTTCCACGCTAAAAGATGGTAGTCATGCATCAATTTCGTTATCCTGAATTTCAGCTTCCTAACTTGATCCCTTCAAAAACTAAATGGGCAGTGCCAGAATACAAAACATGCCAATGCCACCTAGACGTTCAATCTAAGGATTTAGTGCTTGAGAATTCATCGTTTAACGAACATCCTGAAGATTTGCATTATGGATACCACTTAAGGCATTTTCGACACATCGGGGCCAAATGAGAGCTTGCGCTTTGTAATGACGCTAACGGAAGCGATCTGTCATGTTGACAAATGTCGCCGCCGAGGTACCCTTCCGTTCGCGTCACTTCAATGGGCATAAAACTTAATACTTTTCTGATTGCTCCGTTTGCTTCATAACTATACTACAGAATCTATTAGTCATGAATTGATTTGTGTGCCTATAGTGTGAGAATACATCGATTTCTCGTACTAGGTATGCATCTATCAGGTGTGGATTGCTAATGAACTGACGTATGCTTACGTCTTTGTATCGACGATATGAGATTCTGAAAGAACTACTACATATCTAAACTGCAATTTGTTTTAACTATATAGGTAAGTAGTCTGTGCGACATTTCATGGAAGTGGTTCTCACATGCAACAAAGAACCCAGCGCAAGCGGAAAGGAATATCAACATTCCAATTAGTTTAAATATGTGCAAGATGCAAGGGCGAAATCACTTCCTTGGTCATAGTGAGGAAACAAGGTTCATTAGTCTGAGATCCCACGTCGTACCTAGAAATGTTAAAAGTATATGATAATTGATCTAAATTCAGCAGGTTATAGTGACTAAACGTACCACTTTGAGCATTCAATTGACGTAACAAGAATACGTCAAAATAACTTTTCTGGTACTTATTTGTTGTCCCTTTCAAAAATTTACATAGATTGAACGCATTTATGAGAAAATTCTGCAATTTGGGACTTTTTTTGGTTGGAGATGAACGGCCAAATAACTTTGAGAATGTACAAACTTGTAGCATCTGGCATACAAACGTTTCTGGACTATTGTCTATGTCCAAATACTGAATCAATCAGTTTCGCTTGTTGTATCATTTTGAGGTGTTTTCAACAGAACAACGTAACCTGTACATTATTTAAAATCAATTCATTTCTATCGTAAGCCGTAGTGCATCTTAAATACCTGTTATCTAGGTTTCTAAAAGCGTCATTAGTGAAACCAACTTAAAATGTAATCTGTTTTTACCACACTTTAAATACTTTTTGGAAGTGAGCGATAATTTCCCGTAAATCTAGTTATTATCGACGAAAACAAATTGTTATTAGAAAAGGTTGAGTTCACGGAATATGAAATATGATTTATAACATGCACCTACCTGATAAAGCTGCAATGTACTGCGGAAGTGTTTTGGATTGATTACTCGAATCAGTTCCCATGTTGTTCTGAAACAAATAAACATCATATCATAAGAATGTATTGTTATTTATTGGTGTTTTATGAGTTTTAAACTGTAAATCTAAAGGTACGAAACATGCGTGACCAATGTTAGGTACGCACGACGTGATAGAATGTCTTTTGAATTCTTGACAATACGTTTTCAGAGTAGGCAAACAAAATGAAAAACTGTTTCCAAGGTAATTAAAACCTTCCTGTAATAAACAGCAAACAACAAGTATATCCAGAATTACAGAAGGAAACGTATTGTATTCTTGAAGGTCTCATCTATGGATAAGAATTGATTCGAGGAACTGTGTTATTAAACGTCAAAGTCTCGCGTATATTAAAAAACTATGAGGAGTTCATAAAAGTGATCCAAAGAACACTTGTAGGGGATGAAAAAACTGTTATTGCAAAAATGTCAAAAGCCATCGATTTTTTAATTTGTTATTGCAGAGAAGTGCATAACAAAAAATCGGAAGCAATAGCCAAAAATTAAAGCCGTTGTTGTTATTAAAATAAATCATTTAAATATGTTTTATAGCTTATTCAAAAGGTTAGGGTTCTGGCAATAACTCTAATTTCAAGTTGATCCATCTATGTAATTTTTGCATTTAAATATTTTAGAATATGTGTCTTTCAAACTTACGTCAACATTGTTATTTTTATTTTAGTACTTGATTGTCCTTTAAGTCCGCTATTTTTCAGTTTTAGCCCAAAATTTAGCGATTCTCGACTATTTATATAAGCCCGTGTTCGCAACACTTCCTACGTCTATAACAAAAGGAATTAAGACACCAAAAACATATATTAATATTAAAAATGTTCCACAACTGCGCTCACATTAAAAACAAAAAGTCTTATAATTGTGTCTAAGTTACCCAGCAAAACATGGCGTATTTCTAGATGATGGTCCTTTTGCTTTATTCCCAAGAATATAATTCTATTGGAAAATAAGTCTATAGAATTTTTCTACGTCAGGATTTATTTTCGACTCATAAGAAAATGTCATAGGAATAAAAGGTAAGATACCTGATACCTAGTTCACAAACTTGCGCAATATAGGAGACACATCCCAAGAAGGCTTTTTGCACCAAAATCAAGAGGGCAAAAAAACAAATCTTAGACACCTCGACTACTATAGGAAACTTAAAGATGCTTTGTTAATGCGATTTTTGATCTGACTAAAGTCAGCGGAACGGGGATAAACCACCCCAGGAAGACTGTTTCACAATCTCGACACCCTACGAACGAAGAAACAGTCCTACCGACAAGTTCTCGATGTGCGAAGCTTAACAGAGTTGGGATAGTAGGCAAAAGACTGGCGGATCCGTCTGGAAGGCGCAACGCGCAGTGGTATCATGGAGGAGAGTCCTCCTCTGAAGTAGGGATTCATCAAGTTAAGTAGCTTGATATTTCCATAAAGTACTTGAAAATAAGATTACTTGAAACGTTAATGCTTGACTTGACTTGATTTTTTTATTGTTCTACTTAATACTGATGGAAAATTATATTTTTGTTCTACCGAACCGATGAGCCGTATTTTGTCTTTTAATGCTAATAATCACAGGTGGTGGATAAGACATAAAAATGTATTCCCGAATCTAGTTTTAAGCATTTTTTATCGTCATCTGCAACATCAGCGGCCTTTGAAAGGGAATTTTCTAGGGTTGCACTGACCATGACAAAACCCCGCAACAAATTAAGCAATACTTCCGTTAGAACCTTCATATGACCTAACTCGTGGTTAGCGAATGAAAAGCTAATTCAGAATTTATCATTTTTTTGTATCAGCTGATGATACTGATGATTTCTCTATTTACGTTTACAGCTTTATGGTTTTTTTATTAATTATACGACGATCAAATCATTTTTTTTCAATATGTAATGTTTTTTCTGTAACTTGTCACAAAGTCTTCCTGTTGTCTATTTATAATCTACTCTTATTCCTATTAGAAAAATTATCAAGTAATATAGGAATACTTGAATTTTCAAGTGCCTGACGTAAAAACTACTCAGCATGAGTTGATTTAAAGTCGAGCAGTAAGTAGTAAGTCCCTAATCTGAACATCATCGAGTATGGACAATGTAGTCGGAGCGGCAGAACACAGTGAGGAGATTGTGTGGAGAAAAGTACTTCTAGCCATAAATAAATAATTTAGCTTTTACCGGCGTTTGTTGTGATTGACGTGTTTATGCCAAATCAAGTCCTCGGTGATCTTATTTAACATCAAAATTTCACTATTTCCAATGACGATCTTAGATTCGGGAAACCACAAAAACGTCGTGGTCACATATGTTACAAGCTTAGAAAATTGCCACAACACTTACAAAATTATAAAATAAATAATTTCCATCAAACTTTTGTGCTTCTTAGTATCATTTTATTCCAAATTCTTCACTTTCTTAAATCACAAAATAGCAAACAATGCAACTGTAAATCTAACATTTGAAACTTATCCTGAGGTTTCGATGTCGATAATCCTCCATGATTGTTTGGCCAATATATACGTTTCGGTCAACGGTGACCTTCTTCAGTACATGATATCTTTTTAACAGTATTTCATTTATAATTGAATATATGAGGTTTTATTGGCCAAATAATTGTAAAGTCTGGTTCTATTGCTGCAAGTTGTTCAAGCGGGTATTCAAATCATGCACGCATAAAATGGGCACACCAATTTTTGTGGGAAAACTTTTTATTCTACAACATAGAACGAGAAATCGTGTTTTTTGGGATTCATATTTATGAGACCTACAAAATGAGATCACACGTAAAAAGATCCGACTAATAGCAAAAAAGCTATGGCCTAAAACCGAGGCAAACTGCAGGTTTTGACACTTGTTAGTAATGCGACAATGGTTTCTCGCAGATATTTGAAATTCTTCATATATCTGTTTTCCGGCCATCACTACTTGCTTACTGAACAATAAACAGGGTTAATACAAAGGGCAGTTCATAGCAAAATACACTAGTTTACCTTGCCGATATGAATCGCAAACCATTTCGGAAGATAAATGTTATTTTTATGCAAAAAGGATGGGTTACGTTTTTTCTTCAAATTCAAACATGTCGTATTTGTGAGTAACTCGCAACAAAAGATGATAGACACATCCCCTTTGTTTTAAAATGTGTATAGTAACGTATGTTTTTTCGAATATCGTAGCGCATTTGTTCAATTACTTACAAATATGAAGTATTTGAATTAGTTTAGAAGGAAAAAAAACGTAATCTTTGTTTTTCGCATAAAAAGAACATTTATTTTCCTGAATGGTTTGAGATTAATGTCGGCAAGGTAAACACGTGTATTTTGCTATTAAATGCCCTTTGAACGAGCCCTCTATATTGCTCAATAAACTAGTAGTGATGGCCGGAAAACAGGTGCTGTTATTTAGAAGTATGAATCCTACGGATTTGAAGAATTTCAAGTAGTTGCGTGAAATTATCGTTGCCTGGTTTTTCGGCCATAACATTTTTGCTATTAGACGGATATTTTTACGTGTGGTCTCATTTTGAAGTTCTCATAAATAACTAAAAATCTTATATGAAAAGTTTTTTCGTTCCTGTCAACAAAAGTTTTCCCACAAAAATTGGTATATCCATTTTATGCGTCCATATTTTAAATACCCCCTTGAATAACTTGCACCAATAAAACCAGACTTTACAATTATTTCGCTGTAATTTGCTACTATCAGTTATTCGTCAGTCAACAACCCCGCAAAAAGCACTAAATGTTTTGAAAATTTCACCAACTTCCACAACAAAATGAAGGTCCTTTATATGATTTTCACGACAAACAATTTCCTCACCTTACTAATTCCAGAATAACCAGCAATTGAACCGTACTTGGATGAGCGCAACTCATCCATGTATTTCTCACTGAACGTTTTGTTGCACTATTACTCTTTTGCACACCAATTCATCATCACGTCTACTAACGGAGTATCAAATGTAACAAACTGTAGAAACTACGAACAATCGACCCGTTGCCAATGTTATGATGTTATGAAATTATACGGTGCTGGCTGAGTTGGTTATACGCAAATACCAATTTCACATTATCATCGACAATATGATATGCGGAATTTACCAAACGGGATTAGTCTGCGATGATCTTTAATATACCTCAATAACCGTAATACAATGTATATGGAGTACTGCGCAAGTTTTCTGATACCAAAATCTTAGGGATTAACTCCTTTCAGATGCGGCATAATTGATTCGCTCAGACTGTTACAAGTGCATTTTATAGCTCCCCGCTGAGCACGAAAACTTAAGGTTTTTGAAACACTGATTGTAAATGACAATGTGTTCACCTAAGATCTTTCGAATGAATATTTTATGGAAAGTTGGTAGTTATACAGGATGTCCCAAAAGTCATGTATCAAACGAAAAAAGGATGATAAGGGGGTCATTTGCCCTTATCAATCCAGTCAAAATAAAAGATAGGTTTTTAAAAATTCTTACATACGCTGAAAATTGGTATAGAGCTTGAGGATGCTTGTTTTATCATATGACTATGAAAGGGAAAAATACCGTGTGCAAAAATTGTATAATTATTTATAAAAGTTATTCAAGTACTTTTGTTCCTTGAGTCACCGTATATGAGATCAAGTTGTGATATATGAATATACAAGTCGACTTATATTAAAATACGTACCACTTGTACAGGGTGTGTCAGAAAAAGTGTCAGTGATTTTGCTTAAAATGCATGCCATGAGCAACCAAAGGTCTGGATACAAAATAGTTGAAATCGAAATGCTTGAAAACTCCAAAGAATGTTAATAGGAGATCCGTACCATCTAGACACATCCTCGTCTGCTTAGGGTACGCTCAAAAAGAGAATTCGAATTTTCGGAAAAAACTCGTAACCACTTGAAAATTTTTTTCATGCCTGATATTAAAATTGTTATATCAAAAGACCTCATCGATCGTTGGAGGTTACATGTCAAAATTAACATTTTTTTTATATTTCCCCGGTACAAGTAACCATAAAACAGCTTACACCAAAATTGTAGACCACGCAGATTTGTATAAAACTTGCCCAATTGCCTTTGACTGTTTTCATACCCCAGTTCATAAAACGACCCATAACGATGATACATGCCACGCATGCGCCGTAGCAGTAGCTTAGATCCTATAGATTAAAGAACGCATAAACAGCGAATCACAAAAAAGCAGTTGGACAAATTTTATAGGTAATTGCAGGCTCTACAATTTTGATGTAAGCTAATTTTGTGGTTAGTCATACCATTACAGAGAAATATAAAAAACGGTAATTTTCACATGTAACCTCCAAAAGAACATTTCATATATGGTATTGATAACAATAACATAATAAAGGTCTGAAGCAATTTTTAAGTGGGTTTGAATTTTTTCCGAACAAACGACTCCTCTTTCGCTCATTTTGAACGCACATTACCTTTAAGTTTTAATAATATGTCAGGAATGTTCATATATTATTCATAATGTTGTATTCAAGCTATACACCAATTTTGAGGTTTGTGTGAATTTTTTAAAACCAATATATTTTGCTGTATTTTGTTTAGGCTTTAGGCTATTATCCGATTTTAGAAAATCCCTACTTTTGAGACTTTACTTTTCTTTTCTGGAGATTTTGGTATTTCTCAATCAGCTTTATAGGGTATGTTTACAAATGACGTGTCGTTGAAACAAGTTATCAGTGAAACATTAGTCCAGGTAATGTAGGTAGAGCAATCGACTAAACCACAACTTTGTCTGTCATGGATACAGCAACCGTCTTGCAGAAACATTTCCGAATAACCTTCGTATTTTTGAAACTGTACGAATGTGACCTCAGCTGATAACCCAAGTCAGACATAATCCAGTTTCGGAGTCACTTGATTTGAAAAACCAAATCTTATCTGGACTGTTGATAAACGTTCAGTTATCATCGTTTAGTTGGCAATATGTTTTAAAGTGCTGTTAGCAACACCTCGAGTTTTGTGATAAACCTAAGCGTTCTGCGAATAGTCTTTACGAGCAATGTTGATAGTAGGGAGAATTTCACGATAACCGATTTTAATACAATTATCATCATTTCACACATCACAATATTGAGTTTTTCAACTCATATTGTCTTATTTGCTCAAGTTACTGAACCTATACCGTACAGATAATTACTAATAATCATGAAACAACGTTGTACACGGGAAAGGGAAGCAAACAGATCCTATGCAGTCTATATATTATCTGTTTATGAACTGTACATTTTTCCATTTACATTTCTCCCTTAAGATGCGTGCAAGGAGTACCATTGAAGAAACTCATCGTCCAGATCTGCAAAAAAATTCACGTTCTAATGAAATCCCGAGACTTCCGAGATGATGACCTTCCGGATCTATTTACCCCAAATTCATCAGAGATTCATCAGACAAATGCGTGTTACATCAATGTTAAAGACAAAACTTCGTATCTCAGAAAAAATCCATTTATTTCAGAACTTTCTGAAAACCGAAATCATTTATCACGATATATTAAAACGTAATTTGTCATAAATATACCGGGTGTGTCAAATTCTACCCTCACCATTGGGTCTCAGAAACGATAAGTGATACGAAGTCGCTTAAATTCCAAGTAAGCTAGCGTATTTAGGTAACTAACAAAATGCTGATAGAGAGTTTCAAAATTATTCAAAGTACTTCTGGATAGAGACGGAAAAAACGAATTTAACCAAAATCTTGTCCTCAAGCATCAACTTTATTTTTTCTTATGGACGTCATATTAGATTTTAGCGCAGATGAATGAAGTATTCAATTTTGATTCCAAAAATATATAACATGTCAACCATTGACAAACCCTAGTTACAACAACAGAATTTCAGAGGTAGGCCTTAAAATTATCAAATAGTGATTTGTTTCGTATATAAGGTTTATCCCAAATTAATTTTTATTTTTTCCTAACATTTCAACATTCTCACTTTTTCTCCTCCTAGATGGCGAAGTCAAATTTTCAATTCAAGGTTTGTTCTTTCGACTTCCAACACCTATTTTGTTTTTCCATATGGACGCTACATTGGAATTTTGTACATTTAAATACTACTAACAGAGAGAATATATTACTTTAATTAAATGAGTTTATCGTGACATAAATTAATGTATTGTACATGTAGAATCAAAAATTGTGTTCGATTGCGCAAAATTTTAATGTGGAGTCCAAAAGAAAAAATGTTGATGATGGAGATCGAAAGCAACAATGACCAATTGAGAATTTGACTACGCCCTCTTGTATGCTATTTATTTAAAAATTCACTTTCAAATAAAACCAGGAAATAAACAACGATAATGCAATTCCGGTTACAAAGCCAGGAAAAAATTAAAACGAATTTGGGAAAATTCGAAATTAAGTTATAAACTTGAGTTTCAATAATAAATTGAAAAATTAATATCTGTATTTTGCGTTCATCATCGTGATATTAGAACACGCATTAATAATTCATTGTCGCAAATGTTGTACCAAACAACTGACAAAAACAAAATACCAGGAATTTTTTGTTTTTTCATACTGATAAGAACGTGTAAATAAGGTTTAATCTGTATCGTGGGTGATCTGAATGAAGAACGGTCGATTTTTGTGAAGTTAAATGGGAAAGTATTTTGCGAGTTTTGTTTTTAGTTATTTATTAATAAAAATGGCACATGTATACACTAATGAGGAGTTAGTGGACAGTGTTTTAGTGTACGGAGACGCAGCGCAAAATTCGCGAGCTGCTTTTCGTTTGTATGCACACCGATTTCCGAATAGGCACATACCACATCATGAAACATTTAGTTCAATTGTTTTACGTGCACGTGCTAGTGGAGATTTGCGCCAAAGACGTGGAGTGGATGGGGTTGGGTTCGTCCACAACGCGTTTTAAATGCCGGAGACGAAATTTTGAATATTGTGGGACTCTTATCACTTTTTTTTTGAGAAATCAACTTCTTTCGTAACAGTGCATATGTGGTTGAAATTTGTCGGATAAGTTGTGAAACACTCTGTATATTAAAACCCGATTATTGGTTAGGGCTATTACGAATCTACTGTAAGTCTGCGCAAAAATCTACAGATTTCTGAAAACAATGTGCATTCTAATTTTCTTGGGGTATTATTCAAGAGGCATCTATGAGTTAACGGCTATTGATTCTAAATACTGAACTGATAAGAAAAACTTTGAATTATGATCTCACATCCTGTTGTCCAAAACCATAAGGGAATGAGGGCGTACATTAGCTTCAGAGACTATGGCATTGGTTTGTTATGAAAATGTTATGTGAAAAGCCAGATTTATAGAGAGGTTATAAAGATAAAAACAAATATCGGTGTCTAGAGGGAGAAGAATGGATAATTCCAAAAATCGATAGCAATATTGATGTATCGATGTCGGTTTTTTTTCTATACCTATTGAAGAATAATTCAGTGAGATTTTTCGATACCCTGTATAAAGATATAACTGATAACAGTAATAATTTTAACACCAAACATATCCAATGACCTGCAAATAGAAAAATAAATAAAACCGCTAACATTGTTTATTTTAGAAACAAGCAAATAAATGAAGCACCCAATTAATCAAACAAATTAGTGGAAATTCTCATTATGCTCAATATAAGCTTTTATTGTGTTTACCAATAGGATGATTAATATCTTATTATATTATGATTATCTGGGAAGAAAAATGTGGTGCCCAAGAGGCTCTTACGTATGCGCTGTTATCTAAGTTACAATAAAACAACAAATTAGGTTTTATCTTCATTCAGACTTTGTATTGAGATTCCTCGTAACAGTCAGCGCATAGCACAAAAAAATAGTACTTAGCTTGGGCAAAACCGATCTTGGAACCATGCCCGAGAATGGCACAAAAAATGCTCTTAACAAACAAAAATCAACTCAGTACAGTTACAGAACCTCGGTACTCCAGTATTTAGGATTTACTTTTTGAGCATGTACATATTTCTCCTTCCTTTCGAAAATTTGTTTTTTCTCTGGTTATATCCCAAATAGTTTCGAATGAAAGCATGCAAAACTTCCTACGAAAGCACGCTTCTTTACTAAGCAGGTCAGCGTATAGAATCAAGGTAAAGGTTTGTACCAATGCTTTTTCGTCAGATAGATGCAGTGACCTGCTGAGTGATGTTGCGGACAACTTTTAGGCACTGTAGTAAATTAACAG